CTGGTCTACAAGAGGAGCTAGTTCCAGGACAGCCTCCAAAGCCACAGAGAAACCTGGTCTAGAACACCCCCATCCCCCAAAACAACATTTAGTCTAGGGAGATTGCTGAGTGGGTAGTGCACTTGCCACATAAGAGTGAGGACCAGAGTCCGGGAACCCTTATAAATTCTCTCAAGAGTTCACACAGGAAGACACACATGTGTATGCACACAATTGTTAGGTCTCAAAGGAACACGGTACTTCCGGCTACTTCATGGCGGCCCACAACCATATGTTATGAGATCTGGTGCCCTCTTCTGGCCTGCAGGCAAACATGCAGACAGGACACTACACATAATAAATCTTAAAACAAAAAGGAAGCCAGGACTTGTCTCCCTCAAAACTGTGGGTCCTCCAAGCACCCCTCACCCTGAGCCCTGCCCTAACCCTGTCCCTCCCAGGAGCTGGGCTCCTCTCTCGCTTCCCTTCTCCAGCGTCTGACCCCTATGTAAGTGTCATTTTAGTTACAAACACCCCACTCACGGCCTCTTGAAGCGAGTCTCCTCTCTTGTCCTGTCTTCCCCGCTCTCCTTCCTCTCTCACGCCCTCCTTCTCCCATGGCCCGGTTCAGACTGGACCCTTCCAGATGCCTCTGGCTTTCTCTCCCTTGTCATACAGTAAAATCTCCCCAACTATACACACATGAAATGTGGGCATGTGTGACATGGAACATGTATGTGAAGGCAGTTCTGTCCCACACGAGCCCTCCCGAGATGGAACTCAGGTCGTCAGACTGAGGCAAGCTCCCTTAGCCCCTGAGCCATCTTGCAAACCCAAACTTAGGTTTTAAAGATTACTTTAATTCTGCATTATAATAATCCATTCTCATCCTACGTCTCTCGCACCTGGGTTCCTTAATTGGAGACTACCAATGTTACAGGGATCCTGTGTGCTTTGTCGGGAAAGTCGATCTGAACGCAGCAAACGTCAAATACGTAGGCTCAGTGGGCAAAGAGCTGAGGTAGACATGCGGACTTCTCGTGCACACCGTAGAAGTGTTTAGTTCTCCATCAGATAGCCTAGGGCGGCTTCCAACTATCCTCTTGTCTCAGCCTCCTGAATTCTGGTATTATAGGCATGTGCCACCATGCCTAGCTAGAATATTTTTAATGTTTTGTTTTCCCAGACAGGGTTTCTCTGTGGCTTTGGAGCCTGTCCTGGAACTAGTTCTTGTAGACCAGGCTGGTGTCGAACTCAGAGATCCGCCTGCCTCTGCTTGCCTAGTGCTGGGATTAAAGGCGTGTGCCACCAACGCCCGGCTATTTAATCTTCTTTAGGACAGTTTTGGGTACACATGAAAGTTGCCAGAGCCCAAACTAGTCTAAGGTCCAGCTTTAACACAGCATCTCTATGGTTGGATCTCCGCATATGTTCAGTGTAAAGACAGAGTGTATGGTACACATTAGCTCAGCCAACCTGGCCACTCAGGTGCTGCGCATGCCCAAGACTTGTCTTTATCTCTGGCCCCTGACCTGCTGAACATAACTGCCTGATGGAATCCTTCCTGCTGACCTATGCCTGCCTGATTAATGAGTATAATCGCTGTATCAATTTGACTTCTGGGGAAGAAAGCTCCCTTGTGTGGGTGTTATCTGCCTATGGACTGCCTCCCAATCTGAAACTCCAAGGCCTGCTATGTTTCTATGTGATTCCATTGGAAGGCAGGCTGTTGAAATGGACCTGGTTTATGTTCCTTTGGTGACAAGCATTGACTGAGCACCTGTTCCACAGCAGGACCGCCACGCAGAAGTTCCAAGGCTGGTTCTCATGGTCTGTATATTATGTTGTGTGGGTGGTCCTCCCTGGAGCTGCTGTTATACAGGCAGTCACGCATGCATTCTGGGGATGGAACGGAGTCCTCTGCAAATGCTCATGAGCATTCTCTCATGGAGGCAGAGGAAAGTCAACAAGGAGGTGGAGATGGGCCTCTTCACTAGTCCGCAGCAGAACCCACCTGAACACCTGCAGACTTACAGCAATGTAAGATAACACAGGTAAGTGTCGCATGTGGGTAGCCTACAGGACATCGCGCACAGTGCAAAGATGTTATCTTGTGATGATGAGAGACAGCATAAACGACCTGTGTTCTTATCCCGTGCCCACATTAAAAAGCCAGTCATAGCTGGGTGTGGTGGCACATGCCTCTAATCTCAGGGGACAAGAGGATCTGAGAGAGTTCTAGGCTAGCCAAGTCTACAGAGCGAGCTCCAGGACAGCCAGGACTACAGAAAAACCCTGTTTGCAATAAAATAAAATTTAACCCAGGCAGTGGTGGTTTATGTCCATAATACCAGCACTAGAACTAGTTAGCTCTAGGACAACCAGGGCTACACCGAGATACCATGTCTCAAAAAACAAAACAAACTGAACACAGCCTTTAATCCCAGCAGGAAGGCAGGGGCAGACAAGAGTAAGTTCCAGGAAAGCCAGGGAGGGCTACACAGAGACCCTGTCTCAAAAAGATAAAAAGCTAGCCATGGGGGGCCAACCAGATGGCTTAGCAAATTAACAGCTTGCATGGCAAGCCTAGTAAGCTGCATTTGAGCCCCAGAACCCACCTAAAGGTGCAAGGATAAAACCACTAAGTTGTCTTCTGACCTTTGTGCTCTGACATACAGGTACATTTATGAATACAAACCGTAACCCCCCTCCCACCAGCACTGAGGTGGGCAGAGATGAGAATCTGAGGCTTGCTGCCTTCCAGCCCGACTCTAGGTTCAGTGAGACCCTCTCTTAAAAGCAATGCAGGGCCAGGCATTGGTGGCGCACGCCTTTGATTGATCCCAGCACTCGGGAGGCAGAGGCAGGCTGATCTCTGTGAGTTCGAGGCCAGCCTGGTCTACAAAGTGAGTTCCAGGACAGCCTCCAAAGCCACAGAGAAACCCTGTCTCGAAAAACCAAAAAAAAAAAAAAAAAAAAAAAAAGCAATGCAGGATACCAGACAGCTTGACTTCTACGTATCACAAATACTTTTTTTAAAAAGGGCCAATTTCGGGTTACAGTGATGGCTCAGCTGTTAAGAACACTGAAGACCCCAGTTCAATTCCCAACATACTTAATCTTAAAAAGGGGAAGGGGGCAGGCTTTGTTACTTACACCTCATGAGAAAAGGCTAACTTTTTTGTTGGGATTGAAGGCGTGCCTCACCACCGCCCAGCTGAGAAAAGGCTAGTTTAAAACTTCCATTATTGGGGCTGGAGAGATGGCTCAGAGGTTAAGAGCACTGACTGCTCTTCCTGGGGTCCTGAGTTCAATTCCCAGTAACCACATGGTGGCTCACAACCATCTACAATTCAATCTGGTGTCCTCTTCTGGCATGTAGGCAGAATACTGTATATGTAATAAATAAATCTTTAAAAAAAAACTTCCATTATTAGCTGGGTGGTCGTGACGCAATCCCAGCACTCGGGAGGCAGAGAGCAGTTCCACGACAGCCAAGGGTACAAAGAACTATCTCAAAGAACAAACAAAAAAAAAACCCTTACTCTTCCTATAGCTAGGCCACTGAGTGGCCCTGCTGGCCTATCTTTGCAGTAAGCTAGAACCCTGTAGTCACCAGCAGACTGACATGTAGCCTAAGTAACGAGGGACTAAATTTAAAATAAGCTAAGGCAGGATCTCCCCATGGTGAGTTAACTTCAGCAGGGCCCACAGGATTAAGCAGGACTGCAGAGGGATGACATGATGACCTAAGTGAGACCAGTCTCCCACCCTTCCTTTGCTCTGGGGAGGACTTACAAGACAGGGTCAACCAGTTCCAAAAGCCCCGGCAGTTAGCTGTGTAGCAGGGATATTAGACACCACCCTCAAGTCTTCCATGTGTAAAGTGAAGCTAGCGTTGACCTCACAGGAGAGCTAGATGAGGTGAGAAATGGCTACTCCACTACCTCAGTGCACCAGACATGCTCACACAGCTATCAAGATCCCAACTTACAGGGTCCATACAACTTTCCCTATGTAGACCAGGCTGGCCTTAAATACTCACCCGCTTCTGCCCCCTGCCCAACAGGAATGTGCCCTCAGAAGAGATTTCTCTTATTATATATACAGTGTTCTGCCTACATGCCAGAAGAGGACACCAGATTGAATTGTAGATGGTTGTGAGCCACCATGTGGTTGCTGGGAATTGAACTCAGGACCCCTGGAAGAGCAGTCAGTGCTCTTAACCTCTGAGCCATCTCTCCAGCCCTAAAAGGGATTTCTTTAGATAGGATGGCCTTAAATCTCAAGATTCTCCTGCTCCAACTACCAGAATGTGGCGATGACACATATAAACGACATGAACTCGGTAAAGATTGCAGCAGCAGGAATCCACAGCTGAAAGCTGGTGTAGTAAGGCCACCGCAGTTTCACAGGTCAGGTGAATAGCACTTAACGGCCTGTATTGCACACAGGACCCACAGCCTCCTTATTATCCCACTGGATCCTGACACGAACGCATGTCAGCCAGAGTACTGGGACCTCAGACTCAGGACACGACACTCACTAAGGGAAGGCACAGCTAAGGTTCTCTACAACACCCAGCCCAGCCTCTTTCCTGTTGGCAGCCAGATACCCCTGCGAACAGCTTTGAAGCCTGAATTCCTTTTTTTTTTGACAGGGTTTCTCTGTATTGTTTGAGCCTGCCTTGGAAGACCAGACCAGGCTGGTCTCGAACTCAGAGATCCGCCTGCCTCTGCCTCTCAAGTACTGGGATTAAAGGCGTGCACCACCAACGCCCGGTTCCTGAATTCCATGTGTAAATATTTAGACCTTGAGAGTTCCAGGATAGGCTCCAAAACAATAAAGAGAAACCCTGTCTCGAAAAACAATAAATAAATAAAAATAAAGTTAGACCTTGAATCGGCTCCACCCCCCATGTGTGTAGCCCTGAGAACCTCTTCCCCTCAGATGAACAAACCCAAGCATTAGCAAGCATTCTGATGGAACGGCTCGAGGAACCACAAAAGGTCGACCCAGTGTAACTGGCTGTCAGCGGACTCTTTATTGCTCTGGGGAGGGCTCAGGAGCTCTTGGTGGGACGGGTGCGTTTCCTCTTCACCACCACGGGCTTCTGGCTTCTCAGGATGGCACTGGCCCTGCGGATGGCCGCCTGGGGACAGGACAGGGAACTTAGCACACCAACCCCAACACAGTCCCACTTACTGCTGCCTGCTAGGTCCACAGGGAGGCTCCCCCGGGGCTGGGCGACACCAGAGAGGATCCCTCAGTCCGGTCCCAGCCAAGCTCGCCACCAACAGTCCCTCAGGCTCAGCACCGGCTGCCCTCCCGCCCTAAAGATCAATCACTCACCATGCGCAGATCGGGGCGGTACTTGTTCTTTCGGATCATGTGACGGATGCTGCTGAGGGTGGCCCGTGCATTCTTGTTGATGGTGGTCCTTACGTAAGATGTGGCTGGTTTCCGCTGACCTGGTTAAAGGGAACCTAAGAATCAGTCCACCTGTGCATGTGGGGGGGGCCTTCGCAGAGTCTCTCCCAGAAGGGAGCCCAGAACCTCACCCAAGAAACTGCTCACTGGACTGTCTCCCCAACCGCCCGTTGAGCGCACTAGGTGATGACCCCAGGTCAGTCTTACAGCAGAGCCCGTGGAAAACCCATCCCTCTCTTTATGGTTGGGATGTAACCCTGTAATCCCGGCACTCAGGAGGCAGAGGAAGGTGGGTCTCCTTGAATTCGAAGCCAGCTCGGTCTAAAGAGTTCCAGGGCAGCTAGGTCTATGGAGATGGCTCCGTCTTTAAAAAGGATAATTCCATCCCGAAAGAATCCCCCCAGGGAAGCCCTTTTGACCTCCCCCAGCCGGCCACACGGGCAAGGAGGGAGCATCCCTGGCTAACTCAGCGCCGGGGACACTCTGGGCCCTCGCAAGGCGCCTCGTGTCCGCAGAGGCTCACCGGATCTGCGTTTCATGACCACCACGACGCCCTTGCCGTCGGCCGCGGGCTCCACTCCCACGGTCTTGCGGTGAATGAGGCCGTTGTAGCGGAACGAGTTGCGGGCCTTCAGGTTATTGGGTTCCTGCAGAGAGGGCCAGGGGAGACGGTGAGCTAGGGCCGGGAAGGTCCCCCCAGCCAAGGACGCCGAGGCGCCCCACTTACGGTGCTGTAGGTCTGCTTGTTCCTCTTGATCAGGAAGCTGGAGCAGTTGCGCACGACCATCCACTGCAGATGCGCGGACATGGCGGCTGCGGGGACAACGGGCAAGACGTTAGGCGGAAGGAGCGGGCCGGGCTCCGGCGCCTGGGTGGCAGGGGCGGCGAGGATGAGCTCGGCCAGGCCGGGATGCGCGGCCGGGGGGAGGAGGCGGCGGGCGCGGGGCGGCGGCCACGAGGGCCGGGGAGACGACGACACGCACTCACCTGCTGTCCCTACGGCGGCCGGAGACGGAAAGAGGAGCGCCAGGGGCGGGCCGACGCCTTTAAAGTGGCAACGCGTTTCCGCTTCCTCCCCGGGCGCTCCCGAAGCCGGCCACCCCGGCTTCCTCCCGTTTCTTAGGTTCCGCCTCCCGAGTCGCTGCGCTCGTGTCTTCGGGAACTTCCGGAAAGTCTTCGGCTGGAGCGCCCGAGGCGAGGTCTCGCGGTGGAAAGCACTGCGGCGCCGGGGTGGGGGGGTGGGCTGGGGAGTTCGGCACTCGGCGATTGGCTTTCCGAGTGCTTCCGAAAGCAGAGCCCGGAAAGCGACTGCTCAGATCGTCGCTCTCGCCTGCTCAGTTAGCGCCTGGCACACGGTGGGCACTAAATAACATTTTAAAGACGGCTGTTGTTCTCTTGTCTAGCTGATTTCGGACTCAGGCCCTCCCTTGAGGGCTCCAGGACTGCGTCATTACGTCAGGCGTAAGAACTGATTTTAGGAGATGGCTCAGTGCTCTTCCAGAAGACCCGGGTTCAATTCCCAGCGCCCACAGGGCAGGCAGTCCACAACTGTCTGTAGCTCCAGCCCCAGCGGACCTGACATCCGTGAAAAAAAACCAATGCACTTATTTATTTTAATAAGTTAAAAAAAAACAATTGATTTTTGGGCGTCGGTGGCGCACGCCTTTAAAATCCCAGCACTCGGGAGGCAGAGGCAGGCAGATCTCTGTGAGTTCGAGGCTGGGCTGGACCGACAGCCTCCAAAAACAATACAGAGAAACCCTGTCTCTTAAAACCAAAACAAAGAAAAAGAAAAAAATTGATTTTAGGCCGGGGTGGTGGTTGGTGGCGCAATAGGGAGGTAGAGGCAGGAGGATCTCTGTGAGTTTGAGGCCAGCCTGGTCTAAAAGCTACAATAACAAACAAGCAGAGAATTTAAAGCTATTTTATTTTTTTAAGACTTATTTTTTATTTTATGTGCATTGGTGTTTTGCCTGCATTAATGTCCGTGTCAGGGTGTCAGTACCCCTGGAATTAGAGTTACAGACAGTTGTGAGCTTCCATATGGGTGCTGGGATTTGAACCTGGGTCTTCCAGAAGAGCAGCAAGTGCTACTAACTGCTGAGCCATTTCATTAGCCCCGACTTATTTCTTTTTATGAAATGTGTATGAGTTTTCATGGTTTGGGTTTGTGTGTGTGTGTGTGTGTGCTTTCTTACAGTTTTTGCCTGGATATATGTATGGGTGCTATGTGCTTTCCTGGTGCCTGCAGAGGCCAGAGAGGGCCACTGGATTCCCTGGAACTCGAGTTACAGTTGTGAACCATCATGTAGGTGCTGAGAGTAAAACCTGGGTCCTCTTAACGACTGAGTCATCTCTCCAGCCCCAGACTTATTTGTTCTGCTTTATGGTGTATGGGGGGGGGGGGTTGTTCACATGTCAAGTACAAGAACTCTCAGTCCAAGAGAAATCATTGACCCCCTGGAACTGGAGTTATGGGCAGTTGTCAGCGGCCACATGAGTGCTGGGACCCAAACCATGTCCCTCTGCAAGAACCGCCAGTGCTCTTAACCCCCGAGCCGTCTCTCCTGTCCCCAAGACTTGATCTTGAAATGGATGCATGAACTATTTGAAGCACCAATGTGCCATGGAGTCTTCGGGATGGTTCTGCTACTTTTCATTTTTTTTTTTTTTTTTTTTTGGTTTTTCGAGACAGGGTTTCTCTGTGGCTTTGGAGGCTGTCCTGGAACTCGCTTGGTAGTCTGCTACTTTTCATAATCACTGGACTATCTCCCACTCAAGCACAGGGCCCAGGGGACCATTTTCAGACCTCTCTAGAAATCCTCTTATTCCGGGTTCCGTCTATGCAGAAATACTCCATGTCCGTCCTCAGCAATATCTGGCCAATTCCAACTGCCCACTGGCAATTTGCTTCACAGTTTTCCTTCATGTTTTATTAGCATTTATTAATTACGCATAAAATGGGCTTATATGACATTTTCCCATGTGTATGTATTTTAGTCATATTCACACCCACGCACCGACACTGGTCCCTTCTCCCACCACCGTTAACCTGTATGAGTGTGTCCCAGCGAGTTTCCTTTGTGCTGTTTACAGGCTCACGGATGGGAGTTTGTTTACAGCAGCAAGCACACTTTACCTGTGACTACATCACCAGAGGAAAAGTAACTTCCCCTCCAGCATCACTAAAGGAAATGTGGATTCCTCCTCCAGCATCTTCAGCTCTGAAACTAGACAGTCTTGGGAGAACCTAGACAGAATTGTCTCCAAGTTTCCCACTCCAGGGGAGCAGATGTGTGGAAGGTCACATATCTTTCCTACAACTGCTGTTGGTTCCCCTTAGTGTTCCAAATGGGTTAGCCCGGACAGTTGCCTGTGACATGCGGCCTCCCGCCTCCAGAGCATCCTGACGGCATCCACTAAGTTCTCTTGAAGTCAAATCATCTTCAGGGATCAGCTTCCACAGCAGGGAAAGGATTTCTTTTTCTAGAAGCATCCATCAATAAAAAACCCACACAGTTTCAACAGGAGGTGGTACACACTTTCTTTTTTTTTTTTTTTTTTTTTTTTTTTTGGTTTTTCGAGACAAAGTTTCTCTGTATTGTTTTGGAGGCTGTCCTGGAACTCGCTCTGTAGACCATTGAAAGTGTGCAACACCGCCTTAATCCCAGCACTCGGGAGGCCGAAGCAAGCAGATCTCTAAATTCAAGGCCAGCCTGGTCTACAAAGCGAGTTCCAGGACAGCCAGGACCACACAGAGAAACCCTGTCTCGAAAAACCAGAAAAAAAAAAAAAGCCACAGTTTCTATGCCACGTCCTCTAGGACACCTTTCCTGGGAATTTTGAGAATGGTGGCTTAGGAACGACACGTGGGCAGGGGTTTTGTCAAGGGTCACATCTGACTAGCCCTGACCTTAGTGTACTGAGGGTTAAGATGATGTCAGCCAAGATCTGAGAGATGGATTCATTTTCCCGCGTTAGGTTCACAGGGCCCTGCAGCGAACACAGGAGATCCCAAAGGAGCAAGAGCGTTTCGGGGCTCTGGCTGCTGCTCTTGTGCCCGGGAGAATGTTGTGTGTGTGTGTGTGTGTGCGTGTGTGCGTGTGTGCGTGTGCGGTGCAGGGCATGGAACCATGCAAGTGTGCATTAGAGCAAGCCCAAGGGCGTCGTGCGTGGTAGGCACGGGCATCGCCCAGCAGGCACGCGCTCTACCAAGCAAGCTACATCGCCAGCCTGCCCGGCGACGATTTCTGATCCCCCCATTTGGGCTCACCGTGGGCCTGGCGGCACAGGGGCGCTAAACAAAAGTTAACATCTAGTTAGTTCACTTTTCGCCACCATCACGTTTGGCCCTAGGCACCCGGCGCTCTCCCTCCCAGACCTCTGGGCAACCAGGTCCAGGCTGCGAGCTGCAGTCCGGCTCAGGTGACCCCTACAGGCGCTGGGCACACCTGGCGCAGAGCCCTGACCCCGCCCCGGGCTGCCGCACCCCGGGACGCTCTCGGGGAGCAGGCGGCGGCGGCGGGCCACCGAGGGGCCATGGCGGCGGTGTCACCGGTGTGCGGCTCGCAGGCGGCCCCGGCCGGCGCCTCGTCCCCACCCGCGCCCTCCCCGGCTCCGGCGACCGGCCTGGGCCGCTGCCGCATGGCGCTGCTGCTGGCCGTGGCCTTGGACGTGGCGGGCATGGCGGCGCTTCTGACCGGCGTGTTCGCGCAGCTGCAGGTGCGCGGCCGCGACTTCGGGGACCTGCTCATCTACTCCGGGGCGCTGCTGGTCTTCCTGAGCCTGCTGGGCTGGATCCTCTGGTACACGGGCAACATCGAGATCTCGCGCCAGGAGCTCGAGCGGGACTACGGCCTGCGGCCCTCGGCGATCGCCCGCCTCGCGCGCAAGCTGTCCCGCCGCTGGTCGGCGCCCGCCGCCGCCGCCGGTCCCCGGGCCACCCCGGGGCTCCGCGCCGCGCGTCGCGGGGCCCGCGCGCCCCAGGCGTCCGCCTCGGGCTCCCGCCGCGTGCGCCTGCAGCTCGCCACGCTCGAGGCGGGGCCCGGTGCGGCGGGCGCGGGCAGCGAGTGAGCCCCCAGGTGAGGACCCTCGGAGGAAGAGAGAGAGGGGGGGGGCGGTGGCGGCGGAGACAGACACGGTCGCCGAAAGGGGAGACCCGTGGGGAGTGAGTCAGAGGCTAGCAGGGATGGGAGGGACGAGGCTCGGCACCCCAGCGCACCCTCCCTTGGCTCCACGTGCGCCACCTCCGAGTTCACTGCTCTTAACTGTACAATAAGCCCCGAAGGTAGGTGCCTGCGGCTCTTGGCCGGACCACACAGTGCGCAGGCGGAAGAGCGCCATTTGTCCAGACAGGCTGTCCTCATGGGAGGACGTGGCGAGGGAAATCACCCTCGTCCCCTTCTCTTTCTCTGGTGTTGTTTGACACAAGATCTCACTGTGCAGCCCTGGCTGTTCTGGAACCCAGGCTGCCTCTTGAACTCTTGGCCTCTCTGCCTCTGGAGTGCTGGGATTAAAGGCGTGCACCGCCACTCCCAGAGTTCTGTCTCTCCAGTCCTGGTCCCCCCTCCTCCGCCCCCCATCTACTTTTGTTGTTTTTGGAGACAGGGTTTCTCTGTGTAGCTTTGGAGCCTGTCACGGAACTTGCTCTGTAGACCAGGCTGGCCTCGAACTCAGAGATCCTCCTGTCTCTGTCTCCTGAGTTCTGGGACTAAGGACGTGTGCCGCCGCCACCCAGCCCAGATTTATTTTTTAATTATGCTTATCTGTGTACATTTGTGGCACAGTGCTTTCGTGGGCATCTGTTCTCTCCTTCCGTCATCTGGGGCCTGGGGATTGAACTCAGGTCATCAGGCTTGGTGGTTAAGCACCCCTCCCCAATGAACCACCTTCCTGGTCCTTATATTCCCAACTCCCGTTTTTGTTTGTTTGTTTGTTTTAAGATTATGTGCATTGGTGTTTTGCCTGTATGTGTGTCTATATGAAGACTCCAGATGCCCTGGAACTGGAGTTATCGGCAGCGAGCCCTGTGGTTGCTGGGAATTGAACTCAGGTCCTTTGGAAGAGCAGCCAGTGCTCTTAACCACTGAGCCCCTATATAATCCCTTCCTTAAATACCCTTCTTCGGCTTTCCTGCTTCTGCTCAAAGACTGGCGAGGCTCTCTCTTGCCCTCTTGTTTTTTTTTTTTTGTTTTTTTTTTCGAGACAGGGTTTCTCTGTGGCTTTGGAGGCTGTCCTGGAACTCACTCTGTAGACCAAGCTGGCCTCGAACTCACAGAGATCCATCCGCCTGCCTCTGCCTCCCAAGTGCTGGGATTAAAGGCGTGCGCCACCAACACCCGGCTCTTGCCCTCTTGTTAACCCAGGCCACTTGCCAGTGCGTGGGATCTCTGCTTTTTACTTCCGTTCCGTTTCTTCCACACTCTTTGTTCCCTTGTTTGCTTGTTTTTCCAAGACAGAGTTTCTCTGTGTAGACCGGGCTGTCCTCAAACTCAGAACTCAGAGTTTCGCCTGCTTCTGCCTCCCGAGTGCTGAAATCCAAGGCATGCGCCACCCCTGCTCATCCCAATCTCTCTACACTTTATCTGCGCTTACAGCTCGCAGGCCACAGACGGACGGAGAGATATCCTTTATAACCAGGAGGGCCTTCGCTATTTGCAATCCAGCTCCCCCCCCAAAAAAAACTTCCCGCATGTTCTTTAGGGACCAGCTCACTCCTCTGAGTACTCATATTATCTGAGCCACACCCCTGCGGCTGCTTAGACGGCCCAAGAGTACGTCTCTAGGAGCTGGTTCTCACATCTGACAGGAAGGCTGGGACAGGTAGAGCCCAGGTCTTTGGTGTCCTTGTTCCTAACCCTGCCCAGCAAGAACGGTGAACTCAGGAAAGGGAGATAAAGAGTAGGGAAGTGAAAGGATGGATCAATATAGATGGCGGGTGGAGGGTGGGTAAGTGTGCTACAGACTGACGGGTGGAGGGTGGGAAGATGGATGGATGCATGCATTCTAGCTGATGGACGGATGGAGATGGAGGCGGCGGCTGATGGATGGGGTGGATTGATGAATGGTTTATTGGAGAGTTGACTGATGAATTGGGTGCGTGGGAGCAGACAGAATGGATTCCTTGATGGATGGGCAGAATGGCAAACAGATGGTGTTAACAGGACCGATGGATGGATGGATGGATGGATGGATGGATGGATGGATGGATGCGTTATGGTTTGCTTTGGCTTCTGAGGCAGAGTCTTGCTGTGTATCCCAGGGTCCCAGTGTGTGTGGTCCTCCTGCTTCAGCATCAGATTAGTTAATAGGTAGATGTTATGGAGGGATACTGGTGGATAGATGGAGTTGGATGAAGAGAAACACAACGGCTGGGTAGGTAGATAGTAGGTAGTTTGGGCAGGTAGGTAGATAACTGACTAGATGATTGGATGGATGGGTGTGTGTGCGGGTGAGTGGGAATGACTGAATCCATTTCCTAGGTGGGATTTCTTTTTTCTTTTCTTTATGTTTTTGGGGTTTGTTGTTGTTTGAGCTTCTGTGTGGCTTTGGAGCCTGTTCCTGGCACTAACTCTGTAGATCAGGCTGGCCTCAAACTCACAAGGATCCACCTGCCTCTGCCTCCCGAGTGCTGGGATCAAAGGTGATTTCCACCACTGCCCGACTCCTAGGTGGGTTTCTGTACAAGAATTAAACCCTAACACCTTCTCTGTGTGCCTGTGAGCTTGTGTGTGTGTGTGTGTGTGTCACGTGCACAATCATGCTACTGAATGTACCATGGTGCGTCTGTGATGGTCAGAGGACAGCTTTCATGACCGGGTTCTCTCCTTCCACCATAGAGTTTAGGCTGTCAGGATTATATGGCAGGTGCTTTTTTACCCATAAGCCACCTCGCCAGTCTAAGGCATTCTCACTTTTCTCCTGGGCATCCAGAGTACGAGTAGTTCTAGTCTGTGCCTTGTGAGAACTAAGAATTGGATTCTCTGTTCTGTGGTTCAAATGAGGAAAGTGATTTAAGAATGAGCAGCGAGGAAGCCGGGCGTTGGTGGCGCACGCCTTTAATACCAGCACTCGGGAGGCAGAGGCAGAGGCAGGCGGATCTCTGTGAGTTCAAGACCAGCCTGGTCTACAGAGCTAGTTCCAGGACAGCCTCCAAAAGCCTCCAAAGCCACAGAGAAACCCTGTCTCAAAAAACAAAAAACAAAAAAAAGAATGAGCAGCGAGGGCTGGAGAGATGGCTCAGAAGTTAAGAGCACTGACTGTTCTTCCAGAGGTCCTGAGTTCAATTCCCAGCAACCACATGGTGGCTCACAACCATCCGTAATGAGATCTGGTGCCCTCTTCTGGCGTGCAGGCGTACATGGAGGCAGAATGTTGTATTCATAATAAATAAATAAATCTTTAAAAAAAATGAGCAGCGAGGGCTGGAGGTGTGGCTCAGCTGTGGAGAGCTTGCTTAGCATGCATGAATCCTGGGTTCAATCCCAGCACCACATAAAACCAGACACGGTTGGTGATCCCTGTAATTCCAGCACTCAGGCAGTCACAGGAAGCTCAAAACCAGCCTAATGTACATAGTGGGTTCCAGGCTAGCCAAGACTGTAATAGCGAGACTGTTTCAAAACACCAAAACAGGGGCTGGAGAGACGGCCCAGAAGTTGAAAGCACTGGCTGCCCTTCCAGAGGTCCTGAGATCCATTCCCAGCACCCACACGGCGACTCACAAGTGTCTGTAACTCCAATTCCAGGAGATCTGATGCTCTCTTCTGGTCTCCCTAGGCACCAGACACATGTGGCCGCAGAGACAACACAAGCAGGCAAAACATTCATTCACATAAAACAAAAAGTAAATCTTTTTTTTTTTTAAGATTTATTTATTGCATATACAGTGTTCTGCCAGCAGAGGGCACCAGATTGAATTGTAGATGGTTGTGAGCCACCATGTGGTTGCTGGGAATTGAACTCAGGACTTCTGGGGGAGCAGCCAGTGCTCTTAACCTCTGAGCCATCTCTCCAGCCCCAACAAAAAGTAAACCTTACAGCAGGCACACACACATGGCCAGATGGTGGTGGTACATGCCTTTAATCCCAGCACTCAAGTGGCAGAAATAGCCAGATCTCTGTGAGTTCAGATCAGTCTGGTCTATAAAGGGAGCTCCATGACAGGCTCCAAAGCTACAGAGAAACCCTGTCTTGAAAAACAAAAACAAGCCAGGCGTTGGTGGCGCACGCCTTTAATCCCAGCACTCGGGAGGCAGAGGCAGGCAGATCTCTGTGAGTTCGAGGCCAGTCTGGTCTACAGAGCTAGTTCCAGGACAGCCTCCAAAGCAATACAGAGAAACCCTGTCTCAAAAAAACCAAAACCAAAAACAAAACAACAATAATAATAAAACCCACACAGAATATTTAAAGACTGAACAACTATGTATACGTGAAGCATGAGCAAATGTTGGATTACATTTGACATATGCCAAAATAACCATCTGTAGTTAAAGTGGCTCTTGGAGACCCTTGACATTCTCAGAAGTGCATTTGGGCAGACCTCAGAAAACTTGTGCTTTGATGCAAGGGCATGTTCTGGTAATGCCGACTGCCCCTGGGACCAGAATCCACACATGGGCAAATCTTTCCTCCCCTGCCTCCTCCCCTTTCCCCTTCCCCTCTCCCTCCTCCCCTTTTCTTCTCCTCCTCCCCTCCTCTTCCTCCCCCTCCTCTAATCCCCCTGACTCCTCTCTCCTAACCTGGTCTTATCACACAACCAAGGCTGGCCTGGCCGTCCTATATAGACTAGGGTGGCGTTTAATATGTGGTACTGTCAGCCGGGCGTTGGTGGCGCACGCCTTTAATCCCAGCACTCGGGAGGCAGAGGCAGGTGAATCCCTGTGAGTTCGAGACCAGCCTGGTCTACAGAGTGAGTTCCAGGACAGGCTCCAAAACAATACAGAGAAACCCTGACTCGAAAAAACAAAAACAAAAACAAAAAAAATATGTGGTACTGTCTTGCCTCTTAAATGTTGGGGCTGTAGGTGTGAGCTACCTCATCTGGTTCGGTTCTTTTTTTGGTTCTGTTTTCATTTTGTTTTTAATTATATCTACGTATCTGGGGGCATATGTGAATCTGTGTGCTCTGGGGTGTACACAGGAGTGGGTTCTCCCCATCCACCATGGGGATCTAGGAGCGCAAACAGGTTTCCAGGCTTGATAACACCTTACCTATCTCTCTAGCCCCTTGGTTTGATTTTTTTTTTTTGAGACAGAATGTCACAGTCTGTAGCCCAGGCTGGCCTCAAACCATGCATTGTGATTTGGCCGTGAAGATCCGGGTGTTGGGATCCCCTCAGCTGTTTCTCTCTTTATCTGTGCCTGTCCATCTCCATCTCTGCCTCCTTTCAGTGTGACTCCCCAGGTGCCTCTCTCTCTCTTTGCCTTTTCCTGTCCCGAACTCACCTGTATCAGTGGACTCTGGTGAGTTAAAAGCACACACGTTTGTGGGCACACACTCTCGGGGCTCTACAGCGCGTGGGGGGAGGGGTGCAGGTGAGCTGGGGTGTCCGTCAGTGCGTAAGGGCCTCCCTGGCCTCTCGCGGGAGGGGACCCCGGAAGAGAAGCACTCCTAACTAGTCACTAACCCCCACCTTCCCTTCTCACAGACAGCGTCACCCCCAGGACCTGACTGAGATGCACATCGGCCGGCAGCCAGGATACCCACCCGTCCCCTCCTCACTTGGATAAACGTCTCGATTTTGGAGCACTGGTTGCCTGTCTGGTTAAAGGCCTGAACTGGCGAAGGACAGTGATATAAACTTCCTGCCAGGCCAAGCCACCTTTACTCTAGGAGGCCCTAGAGCCACTGGGGATGTAGAATCCCAACTTCCCACTGGTCCTCCCCTAGGGGCACCAGGGAGGTGAGAGCATCTTGAGTGCAGGCCCAACCACCCAGCCTCCCCCCACGCCCATTAGGGTAGTTTGGATCTTCCAAGACCAGACATAGGGGCATACTGAACTCGCAAGATATTCGCTGCAATGGTTGTGGGGGGCTTATAGAGGGGGCTTTGATGCAGGATGCTAATTGGCAGACTGAGTCTGGGTGCAGACAAACACACTTCCAAGAAAAGGCTTGGCCAGTGGGGACTTTTTGTTTTTTTAACGTGCACTGATGTTTTGCCATGGATGTCGGATTCCCCTGGCACTGGAGTTAAAGATAGTTAACTTGTGGGTTGCTGGGAGTTGAACCCGGTTCCTCTGTAAGTGCAGCCAGTGCTCTTTAACCATCGAGCCTGTCTCCAACTCCAAGCCCATACTGTTCTCTACCCACTCAGTCGTTGGTGCTGGGAGGGGGCAAGAGAATTGCCAGAGTAGGGACTTAGCGGTGCTCCCTGAAGCAGGACAACTTAGGACACCCCGAGTCATCCTATTGCAAGCTCACTTCATTGTAGCTCCCCCATATGCTCCCTTACCCGGAACTACCTCGGGTTCCCTTCCACAAGCCAGCCCCCCCCATCATAACCACCGAGCACCACCACATCCCCTAAGCTTCCTCAAAGTACCCATGGCGCAGGTTCCCATAAAACCACCTGCTCCCCACGGATCTCAAAAAAAAAAAAAAAGACGCGCATTTATATGCCATGTCTGTATTGAGGGGTCCTATGGGGTTGCCCCTAATCATCATCTCCTCCCTCTGTTTCCTCCCCGCCTTCCGTAGCATCCGGTTCAGTGCCGCCGCCTCCTCCGGAGGTATCTGGCACGTCTATGGGCACTGAGACAGGCGTGGGAATCGAGGTTGACTTCTTGCTGACCGATGGTCGGTCCTTAGACAGTAGGGAGACTGTGCGTGACAGGTCGCATTTCCCCTGCAGAAATTGTGGCAGGTGCAGCATGTCATGGCGCTTGGCCCACCTGGTGGGGAGAGCGAGCATATGTGTATATATAATGTTCAGGCTGATCCGCCCGCACCTTCTGCGGGGGAGCGCGCCCGCCGGGCCTCGCCCACCGCGCTCACCAGAAGAGGCAGATACTGGCGATCAGAAAGAGCAGGCTGCCGCAGGTCCAGCCCAATGCCCACATGTGCTTTCTGCGCATGTTTTCTAGAAAAAGGGGGGTGGATGGAGGAAGGTCCAGGGATCCGGCAGCTGTACGTACCCCTCGCCCTCTGTAACCCCCAGTTTGCAGCCAGGTAACTCACCGTCTGGCCGTTGATGATAGCACACACCATCCCGGTAGCAGCATCGCAGGCGCAGGCAGAGGTTGGGGTTCTCAATCGCTGCCTGACCCCCACAGCTCTCTCGGTCCCACACATCTCCCTCACAACCTGAGGGTCACCACAGTAGGCACTAAGTATCAGAACTGGCCCTGAAGGCTACAGACAACAAGGGTGCCACGGCCAGGCTGTGGGGCTGGGCTGCTGTGTTTTGGGCAGTATTCTACATAGGACCCAAGAGTCCAGACCCATCCCTCCACCCTCAGACCAAGGGGCCCATACCCCATCCTTCCTTCCTCAGACCTGGACCTCCAGACCCCAGCCTTCTTCCTGCAGCCCTCCTCCCTCAAACCCGGGAGTCAAGGCTCCGCTCTCCTTACTCAGACCTCAGACTCGGGGTTCTAGGCCCCAACCCTCCTTCAGACACAGGGATCAAAGGTCTTGCCCTCCTCTTTTATAATTAGTTTTAGGCTCTTCATCTCTCTCGGACTTAGGGATTGAGTCCCTCGACTTTGTGCCACAGACCTAGGGGTTCAGGACTCAGCCCCCCCACATGCCCAGGGTTGAGTCTCCCTGACCTCTTTCTTCAGATATGAGGGGTCTAAGCCTTGGCCCTTCCTCCAGACCCAGGAATCAGACTTTAGCTCTCCTCCCTCAGACCCTAGACTCCAGGCTTCCACCGTCCTCGAGACCCAGAGGTTGAGGCCCTAGTACTGCCCACTTAAGACCCAGAGGTTATATGTTCCTAGGCTTCCTCCCTCAGACCCAGTGGTCCACAGCCCAACCCTTCTCCCTCAGACCCTTCGGTCTTAATTTGAGATTCCCTCCCTGGAGCCCCGGGATTTTGTCTCCTGCTTACTCCATGGATAGAAAAATCCCTGGATTCCATTCGCATCTGTGGGAGAAAAGGGGTGATGTTGGGAGATCATGTGGCAGCCACGGTGGCCCTGTCCGCAGCCCCCTGATGTCCTCGTCACTACCCTCACCTACTGAGCCCTGCATGAGCAGGAAGAGGCCCAAAGCTGAGACCCCAGACCCCACCATGTTACCTCCCCAGACCTCTGGGGCCTCTGTGCAGAGAAACCTTGAAGGACATCACCTTGGCAACAACTGGGCCCCGCCCCAAAGCCTCAGCCCCAGAATTCTCAGTTCTGTTGCCAGGGAGCCCCCTCAGCAAGGGGTTCACAGGAGGGGTGCCCCGGCCCCATCACTTCTGTCCAGGAAGTAGCTCCCTTGGCATCTGGAGAGGAGGTGGGTGGGCATTGGGAGGCTTCAGATTTAGAGCCTCCTCAGCAAGGGAAGAGGGAAAGAGAAGCCAGGACCAAGCTCCGGGGCTGGAGATGACTCTCCTTATCCATGGGGTACCTGATGGGGGACGGATCTGGGACTGGGGTGATCATTGCGCTGTAGAATCCCTTTCTTTCCTTACCCAAGGTCCAAGGAGGTGGCCTCAGGGGGCCCAAGTTCAGAGCCCCTCATTGCTAGAGTGTCCTTCTCTCTAGCAACCAGGAAAAATTGATCCTAGGACGTTGGGGTCTCATTGAACCCCATTGTTAGAGAAGGGTTTCCCCAGCAACCAGGTCAGAAGGAGGAAGCGACAGTGGCGGCTGGTGGGCTGGGCCCTGGGGGTCTTGTCTCAGGCTGCCCCAGACCTCTGCTGCAGGGAACACAGGCCAGGGCCAGGGTGACCATGCCTGGCCCTCCTGAGAGTGAGGGGTGGACACTTTAGTGGCTGTGATGCCTAAAGTCCCAAGTCCCCAAAGAGGCTCAGAGACTCAGTTTCCCCCCCTGTAAATGAGGGAACACAAACTGCAGCATGGCGACTTGTTTTGTCTTTGGTCTACCCAGGTTTGCTGAGGAACCAGGCTTCCAGGAAGCCACACCGGGGCGGGGGAGAGGTGACGGGCTGGTGGGGGTGGGGGGCTATGTCACTATGGTTCATAGTTCATTTCACCCAGGCTCAATATCCACTTGGCATAGGTGAGAAGGGGACTTTGGTTTCAGTTCCTGAGGGAGGTCTGGAACCGGCCCTGGGCTTGTGGAATGGCTGGGGCATGGACCCCTGGATCTGAGGACGGGGGAGGATCGGGAGATGGGATCCCTGGACCTGAGGGAGTGGAGAAGTCTGCGGACTGGAACCCTTGAGTCTGAGGGAAGCAGGGGAGCTGGTGATGGGATCGAAACGAGGCTGAAGTCTGGAACCCTGGGTTTAAGTGGGAAAGGAGAACTTGGTCCTTATCTCTATCTGAGGGAGAAGTGGGAATAGGACCCCTAAGTGTCAGAGGGAAAACTAGGTCCTGGACCCCTAAAGCTTGGGTATGAACCCTGAACAGAAGTAGGGGGCCAGGCTAGATCCCAGACTCCGGGATTTCAAGAAGGGGGCCTCCCAAAGCCCAAGGGAGGAGTGGTGTTAGGGTCTGGACCTCTGATTCTAAGGAAGTCTGGGGCCTCCTGGACTGCGGATCTGAGGGGAGAGGGCTGGACCTGAATTGTCCGTCCTGTGGGAGGGAGGGGTCTGAGTTCAAACCCTGTTTCCCAAGAAGCCTTAGAGGAGGCTGAATCCCTTTCATCCCCGGGCCCTCCAGTAAACATCCTAGAGGGTGCTGAGTGGGCCCTGGGCTGACTCCGTCAGAGATGACACAGGTCCGAGGGGGCTCGGCAGGGGGTATGGGGGTGGGGGTCAGAGGGGTTGTGGGGCTGAGGCCGGGCAGCTGCTGACCGTTTCCTGTGTCAACACCATCTGGTCCCACTTCCCAATTCCCTGGATTCCTCAGGGATCAAGGAGGGGGTGGGGGGGTGGGGCTGCCCGGCGCTGGACCGCGGATTGGGATTGGGGTGGGGTGGGGGGGGACACCGTCGAGGCCCTCACCACTAATGACAGGTTTGGGCTGCCTCTGTGGCTGACCTGCCCCGTCACCCCCCAGAGGCCAGACAGGACCCCCCAGGGACAGACAGACGGACACACACAGCCTGGGATGTGCTGACATCACACCCAGCCAGCACCAGCTCACTCAGGGGCCAGCACACCATCAAGGCCCACCCCCCATGGCTAGACCCCCACATCCTAGGGCCATCTCAGATGCCTCTAAACTCTCCGAGGTTTCCTGCTCTCTGCCTCCTCTTTGTTTTTGACTGCCCAGCCACATCTTCTCTTGCTCCTGTCACGGGGGAACTTCGAGATCCTGTTTGTGTCTGTCTGTCTCCATTGTCTTCCGTCATTTGGGGGGGATTCCCAGAGTCTCCAGTCCTGCCCGTCTCTGTCTTGGTCTCCTTTCCATAGGACTGGTATTCCTGCCCTCACCAAAAGAAGGTCCAGGAGTCCTGAGTCCGCTCTTCAGGCCTTTTGTGGTCACCGTGGGGAAGATGAGTCTTTTCCCCACAACCCCCAGGGTGAAGAGGGAGGCAGGAGTAAACACTAGCCCATGACCCAGACCCGCAAGCAAACTCCCTCAAACACAAAGATCCCCCAGTTGTTGGACATCAGAATGTTCTTCCACTTATATAAAAAAAACGAGGATTTAGTTCCCTGGGTCCCAGGTAGGAGGGGCTGGCTGGGGTCTGTTCCCTGGGTCTGAGGGAGGGGGGCTGGGGTTGGAAGCCCTGGGTCTGATGGAGGAGGGTTGGATACCTGTGACCCTGGGTCTGATGGAGGAGGGCTGGGCTTTGTGCCCGGTGTCTGAGCTTCGACCCTCTCAGGGTTAAATACCTGGGACTCTGGGCCTGAGGGGAAACAGCTGGGGTGTGTACCCTGGGTTTGAGGACTAGGGGGAGATGGAGAGGTGAAATGGTGTGGATTCTTGAATCCCAGCTGGGGGAAGGGGCTGGCATTTGCAGTCCCTGGTGTTGGTCCAGGTCTGGCTGCAAGCCCAGTCCCCTATCCCCTCAGGCCAGTCCATTCCCCAGGCTGGTGGCCTGAGTCACCTTGGCTAGCCCCCATGGTCTGGGGGGGGGGCTACGTCAGCTCTCCCCTCACTGACGCAGCTTCGGGCCCCCCACGCTGACTCAGCCGGAAACAGGCCCCCTGAGGGGCGGAGACCCAGTGGCCAGAAGCCTGGGTCCCAGCAAGAGCCGGGGGCTGAGGACGGCCCCTGGGGGGGGCCCTCAAAGGGGTGGTGTGACAGACCATGAGAGAGAAAGAGCTCTCACCTGAGACGATGAGGTCATGTCCCACCATGGGGGGGCTGTGACCTCACCTTCTGGGGGGTCTGAGCAGCTCTTCCCCCCTAGTGGAGGAAGGTGGGGAGGGGAAGCCTTCGTCTGCCCATCAGTTCCAGAACCAGCACCTACCCCGCCCCCGCCTGCCACCCATCTCCAGCCCATGCATTAGACACGGGTGGTCGTCAGCAGAGAGATTTCTTTTGAAGTCCCTGTCATTGTCCCCTGCCCAGAGCCACCTCATTCCCCTCCCACATCTGGAGATGTGGGTGAGCCGATTTCTCTGTCCCCATCCCCTGAGGGACTGTGAATTCTGAGCCAATGGTAGTCATCCGTCGAACATGGTGCGCAGGGCATTTCTGCAGTCTGGTGTGTTTCTGCTCTTAACGGGTAAACAAATGTTATGTCCCCCTTCTCTGGAAGTGCCTTTGTCTCTGTTTCCAGCACCCACTCACTCTCGCCCCCTTTCCCAGCGACTACCTGTGTCTAGTAGTCGCTGGCGCATGACTCTCACTGTGGCAGTTAGGGACAGGAAGGTACGTGTATGTGGTGGTGTGTAGTCCGTACCCGTGTGCCAGTATACGGAGGCCGGAGGGGGACACTGGGTGTCCTGCTCTGCCCCCCTCAACCGTATGCCCTTCAGGAAGGGTCGGTCTCACACTGACCCTGGAACTAGGCTGGAAGACAGTAAGGGCCTGGTGGTCCTGCCGTCTAGGCTTGCCTAGCCACCGTGCTTTGGCGAGCACTTTTACCCACTGGGGACATCTCCTCAGCCCTAGAAGGAAGTCTGCCCCATTTACAGATAAGGAGTTGAGGCAGGGTAGCGCTGGCTGGTGACCTCTGTGGAGAGCCTCCATGCCTTTCTTTGGACCCTCCCTGCCTCTGCCTCGTCTCCTCAGCATCTCTCTAGTTTCCGTCTCTCAGGCGGCCGCATCTTTGGCCATCCCTCTCTGACATCTCCCTAGGCTCTGCACGTTCTCCTGCAGCCTGCTGCTTCGCTCCAGGTCTGTGTCCCTCTTCCCCTCAGGGTCTTGCTGGACCGGCGGCGTTGGTGGCGCACGCCTTCAGTCCCAGCACTCGGGAGGCAGAGGCAGGCGGATCTCTGTGGGTTCAAGGCCAGCCTGGTCTACAGAGCGAGTTCCAGGACAGCCTCCAAAGCAATACAGAGAAACCCTGTCTCAAACAACAAAACAAAAACCGATAAATAAATAGGGTCTCAAGTGGCCCAGGCTGGCTGCAATCTCACTATGTAGCTAACGATGACCTTGAACTCCTGAACCTCCTCCCTACCCCCCCCCCAATGCTGGGACCGAAGGTGTGTGCCATCACACCCCGTGCCGGGGATAAAATCCAAGGCCTTTTTGCACGCTAGGCAAGCACCCTGCCAAGCTAAGCCACACCCCTCCGCTCCTCAGTTTCCCTGTCTCTGCATGTCAGACATTGGGCATCTGTGTAGCGAGCCGTGCCTATCTCCGTGCATCCGCTTTGGGGTCTGCACGTCCAGTCCCAGGGTTCTCATCCCTCTCTGTCACTTAGACTGTCCCTCTCCTCTCCGTCTCCCCAGGCCGTTGCCTGGCCTCCCCATCTCTCCAGAAGCGCCCGCCTGCAGGTCCCATCCAGACCCCTTTTCCACAAACCCCCGGCTCCATGGAGCTCTCGAGCCTTGTGTGTCTGTCCCAGCCCGTGGAGGTGGAGGGAGGGGACGCCAATGACCTCACCGGTCCCTCTCAGACCCCCCTCCCCTTCACTTTTCAACTTTTCCTTCCGTGCCCTCCTCTGTGAGCCTTGCTAGGCAGCCGGCTCGTCTGAATGGAAAAGGCAGGAGGGAGGGTGAGTCAGGATGTGTCAGGCCGCCCTCCCCTGCTGCCTGCCCCCCGCCCGCCCGCCCCGGCCCCCTATATAACCCCCCAGGCGTACACACTCCCTCACTGCCTGGCCATTGCTGCTCAAACTCACATACCTCCCCTCCCCAGGCCGAGGCCCAGCTGACCCCCTGGGATCCCCCGGCAGCGGACAGGGAAGGGTTAAAGGCCCCCCCGGCTCCCTGCCCCCTGCCCTGGGGAACCCCTGGCCTGTGGGGACATGAACTGTAAGTTGGTTCCAGTTCATGGGGTGAGGGGACAGGGTTGGGGGGGAAGGAGGAAAGGATTGAGGGGGTGGGGAGGGTAGGACAGTAGGCAGAAGAGAGGAGTCACGGGGAGTGAGACGGAGAGAAATCGGAATAGTCAGGAAAAGTGGGAGTTTGAGACGAGAGACGGACAGACAGAGAAACGGATCAAACGCAAGTAAAAGAGAGAAGGGACAGACAGACACAGAGGGACAGATGCTGGGAGACGATCCTGAAGGGTCCGGGTATCCCAGGGAGTCAGCGGGAAGCGAGGGCCAGAGGCAAGCACGAACTCCACCCGCGAGGCTCAGGGGAGGGAAACTGAGGCAGAGAAGTCCCAGATGATGACCGCAAGCCCCAGAGGACGGGGACCAGGCAGGGGAGGCAGACGAGAGAGGGGTGTGGACAGACAGCTTAAAGAGCCAGACAGATGCGCACCGGCGAGGGGACGGGTGCACCGACAGACGGCCGAGGAGGGGCTGCGAAGGACGGGCTCCAGCCAGAGGGGACCAAGGGGGCGGGCTGGGGGTGTGATACAGGAGCCTGGAGGCCCGGGGGGCTCTGATTGGCTGGCTGGCTCGGAGGTGGGCGGAGCAGCTGGGGGATGGGCAGCCGGCACAGGAGCTGTCCCGAGCCCCTGAGCCCCGAACGCTGCCAGCCGGGTCTCCAGCTGCGTGCCGCGCGCCCCAGCGCCTCTCCGGCCAGGTGCGCCCAGGTCCTCGCCGACCCAGCCGTCCAGCCCTCCGCAGCCACCTTTGTGGGCCTATGGCAGGGGGTCCGGGGCGCCTCCCTGGAGAGGAATCAGTGTGTTCGGGTGTCAGCTCCCAGTCTCTGGCTCCTTCCCCTGTTCCCAGGCCGGCTCAGGCTCCCCGGGCAGGGGAGGGGGCAGGTTCTGGCCTGTGCCTCCCCCCCTTCATGCCCCGCCCCGGGGCCCAGATTCCGGCGTCCGGGGGCGGACGGGAGACGCCCGGCCCGTCTACCCGCCCCGGGCCGCGTCTGCTCCGACGGGCGGGGCAGCCAGAGCCAGGGAGGGAGAGGGAAGCCCGCCCGGGCTCCGGCTTTGCGACCTGCCCCGGGGCGCCCCACCCTGAGACTCAAGACCTCCAGGTCCTCCTCCCTCAGATCCAGGCGTTCAGGCTCCAGCCCTCCTCCCTCAGAGCCGAGGAGTCCTAACCTCAACTCTCCTCCCGCAGAACCTGGAGTCCAGGCTCCAGTCCTCCTGTCCAGACCCTATGCATCCTCATTTAGGCTGAGGGTTCTGGGCCCCCAGCCTTTCTCCCTCAGACCGAGAATACCTCAGTCTTGCTCTCTCAAAACCAAAATTGCGGACCCCAGTCCCACTCCCTCAGACCCGGAGTTCGGCCTGATTTCTCCCTCCTCCTGTCCCCAGGTGTTTGTCACCTGGTCCTGGTGGTGCTGAGCCTCTGGCCAGATAGAGCCGTTGCCCCTGGGCCACCATCTGGCTCCCCGCGAGTCTCTTCAGACCCCCGTGCCGATCTGGACAGCGCTGTCCTCCTGACCCGATCCCTTCTGGCAGATACTAGGCAACTAGCAGCACAAATGGTAGGGACCGGAGGGACAGGGGCTGGCTGGGGCTGTCGAGGATGACAGAGTCACTTCTCTCTCCTGGGTCCCTGAAGACCAGGAGAGCTTGGCGCCCCCCTCCCTCCCTCACAGCTTCTTTCTCACCAGAGAGACAAATTCCCAGCCGATGGAGACCATAATCTGGACTCCCTCCCGACCTTGGCCATGAGCGCTGGGACCCTAGGGTCCTTGCAGGTGAGAGCTTGGGCCAGCTGGTAGGGAGGGCTGCGGGGTTCTTGGTGGCCGAGGGGCGCCTGTGCCAGCTGTTCCCTGATTTGCATCCCTGGTCCTCAGCTTCCAGGTGTGCTGACAAGACTTCGAGTAGACTTGATGTCCTACCTCCGGCATGTACAGTGGTTGCGCCGGGCAGGTGGACCTTCCCTAAAGACCCTGGAGCCAGAGCTGGGTGTACTGCAAGCCCGGCTGGACCGGCTACTCCGTCGCCTACAGCTCTTGGTAAGTTTTTTAACGCCAGGACTCTTTGTGTCCATTCTGAAATCTTTGACCCCAAGGAACAGTGCCCTGAAAGTCTAGATTCTGAATCCCAAGACCTGAGACCCAAGAAACTTACCCTGAGTCCTCCAGATCCAAGTTTTCCCATGAGAATTAGAGGTCGAGGCCTTAAGATGTCTAAAACCTTTCATCCCTGAAGTCCCAGCTCCCAGCCCCAAGATCCTCATATCTCTAGGACCCAGCCTGGGCCCCATGATTCAAGATCCTGATTCAACCGACCTTGAGACTCACTCTACAATGCCACAAACTCAAGGGTAGACCCTAGCTTAGCATGGTGGCAGTTGCCGATAGTCTCAGCACTCAAGAGGCACAGGGAGGGGACTATTACAAGTTTCAGGCCAGCCTGGTCTACTTAGTGAATTCCAGGCTAGCTATGGCTCCGCAGCAAAACCTTGTCTCAAAAACCAAATCTGGGCCGGGCGTTGGTGGCGCACGCCTTTAATCCCAGCACTCGGGAGGCAGAGGCAGGCAGATCTCTGTGAGTTCGAGGTCAGCCTGGTCTACAAAGCAAGTTCCAGGACAGCCTCCAAAGCCACAGAGAAACCCTGTCTCGAAAAACCAAAAAAAAAAAAAAAATCTGGATACTGACAACACCTGATTGTACTCCCAGTATTTGGGAGATGGCAACAGAGAGTTCGAGGTCATCCTCAGCTATGTAGTGAGTTTGAGCCAGTCTGAGCTATAAATACCCCAATCCTATGTCTCATTTCCAGTATTATGAGGTTAAAAAAAATATCAAGACTCCAAAATTTAAAACCTCAGGCCCAGTACTCCAAAAGCCCTCACACATTGGTCTCTGATTACAAGGACCCTTAGATCTCAAATTCTTTCATCTAACCCCAGGCCCTAGATATGGTCCCTAGACCCCAAGCTCTAAGACTCCAGCCCAGACCACCCTTGAGAACACCTGTCAAGCCCCAGGTCACAGCCCTCATTCCCTAGTCCCTAGCTTGGCCTTTAGGACAGTAACCTTGGTGTGTGTGTGTGTGTGTGTGTGTGTGTGTGTGTGTGTGTGTGTGTGCGCGCGCGCGCGTTCATGTGTAAACCTGAAGGCCAGAAGTCATCATTGGTCATCTTCCTTGGTTGACCAGATTCTGCCTTGCTTTTTGCTTTTTTTTCTCTTTTTTTGAGCTGGGGTTTCTCTATGTGGCCCTGACTGTCCTGGAACTCACTCTCTAGACCAGGCTGGCCTTGAACTCATAGAGATCCACCTGCCTCTGTTTCCCAAGTGCTGGGACTAAAGGTGTGCGCCACCACCGCCCCACTCTGTCTTGCTTTTTTAAATTTTATTTTATTTATTTATTTTTGCAATTCTATGTGCATTGGTGTTTCGCCATGGGTGTTGGGTCCCCTGGAGCTGGAACTGCAGACAGTTGTGAGCTGCCATGCAGGTGCTGGGAACTGAACTCAGAACCTCTGGAAGAGCAGCCAGTGCTCTTAACCACTGAGCCATCTCTCCAGCCCCATCTGTTTTGCTTTTTTTTTTTTTTTTTTTTTTTTTTTGGTTTTTCGAGACAGGGTTTCTCTGTGGCTTTGGAGGCTGTCCTGGAACTCACTTTGTAGACCAGGCTGGCCTCGAACTCACAGAGATCCGCCTGCCTCTGCCTCCCGAGTGCTGGGATTAAAGGCGTGTGCCACCAACGCCCGGCCTGTTTTGCTTTTTTGAGACAAGGTTTCTCACTGAGTCTGGAGGGCACCAATTCAGTTAGACTAGGTGGCCGGTTCCCAGAATCCTCCTCTGCCGGCTTCCCTGGCACGGGAATGAGCGGCACACCTGGCTGCGGCCAGCCTTTTCTCACGTGTCCCAGAGATCTGCACTCGGGTCCTCTTGAGTGTGCAAGCTAGACTTTATTGAGGATGCCTTCTACCTCCTCCACAGCTGCAAGGGTTTTTTTGTTTTGTTTTGTTTTGTTTTGTTTTGTTTGATGATCAGCGTTTCATGTAGCCCAAACTGCCTTTCCTAATGTAGCCTTGAACCCCTGATACTCCTACCCCGGGAGGGCTGGGATGTCAGATGTGAACTGCCTTGCCAACCCAACATCAGTTCTCTGACCCGGAAGAGATCCTAAACCAAAACCCCCCTTGCCTTTTGCTAACCTCGCTTCTTTCTCCAACAGACATCTCGCCTCACTTTGCCTCAGGCAACCCCAGACCAACCCTCGGTCCCCTTGGGCCCTCCTACCTCAGCCTGGGGAAGCATCCGGGCTGCTCACGCCATCCTAGGAGGGCTGCACCTGACCCTGGACTGGGCTGTGCGAGGTCTGCTGTTGTTAAAGACTCGGCTGTGACTCAGGACTGCAAGCCACCACCGATATCATCTTTTAAAAGCCACATCTTATTTATTTATTTATTTTGGTACTGGGGTGGGGGGGGACAAGATGATCAGGGGTATGCCATACCCACACTTCCTGACACCCAGCTAGACACGCTCCCTCCAGGGGACCTGGGTAACGGGGCAGGGGTCACCTGTGTGGCTTATTTATACTTATTTATTTAAGAAATTGGGGTGGGCGGGGCGGGTGGATCTGAGACCTTGAACGGGGAACCGAGATCCTGCATTCTGGGGTCTCTATGAAATCTATCCACAGTGCCTTCCTCAGATTCCTCTATTATTTATTAAACAATTTACTTTTTATGTTAAGAGGAGGAGGGGAGGGGAGAAAAGGAAGCCTGGGGTTTTGGAACCAAAATGTGAGAAGTTTTTGTGAGACAGAAAAGGCAGTGATTTAAATACATATCCACTTAGAGGTGATTAGCAGGGAGATGCCAAAAAACGATCCCAGTCTGACCCAGCGCCTGGCACTTCAAAGCTCAATGGATATTTAACAGGAAGTTGTTCCACAGACTGTCACCTTAGAAGCAACTGCGTCTGTATGGTACAGAGCTGGAAAGTGAGAGATTGTTTATTTCCAGTGACATCCATGCTGGCCAACCTAAGTTCACCAGTAGGGGACGGATGAGTGACAGGGGATCCATCCCTGTGATGGAATATGAACCAGCCAGTCTTAAAAAGTCCAGGAGAAAACTACTTTAGACGTTGGATGTCCCTGCAGCTAGGCAGCGGCAGATGATAGAACCACTCTTCTTTATATAAGTATGGACTTTCTTTTTGAAAATGGAAATAACATAACGTTGACAATGGCTGTCTCAGGGTTGAAAACACAAGATCGGGCTGTGGGGTGACTTATTTTGTGTGTGTGTGTGTGTGCTTGTACTTTCCAGAGTTTTTACCGTGACTGTATTTTGCATGACACATTTAAAAACAACAATAAACACTATTTTTAGAATTACAGAATATCAGTCTCTGTTTCTCACCCTACTATACACACTCCAGAAGAAAAAAAAAAGGCCAGCCGGGCGTTGGTGGCGCACGCCTTTAATCCCAGCACTCGGGAGGCAGAGGTAGGCGGATCTCGGTGAGTTCGAGGCCAGCCTGGTCTCCAGAGTGAGTTCCAAGACAGCCTCCAAAACAATACAGAGAAACCCTGTCTCGAAAAACCAAAAGAAAAAAGAAAAAAAAAAAAGGCCTCAGAAGGAAGCAAGAAATATGATTACTCGAGCCCATGTTCTTGGCCATGCTGAGCCTGGATTTTTTTTTTTAACTTAAACAATCATCTCAGATCCTCAATATATGCCATGTTTTATAAAAGAGAGAAATTGAGGGTCGAATGGGAGTAGTTGGTTTCTTTATTTTATTTTATTTTTTTGGTTTTTCGAGACAGGGTTTCTCTGTGGCTTTGGAGGCTGTCCTGGAACTCACTTTGTAGACCAGGCTGGCCTCGAACTCACAGAGTTTTCTTTATTTTTTTTAAAGACTTATTTATTATGCATACAGGGTTCTGTCTGCATGTATCCCCACAGGTCAGAAGGGGGCACCAGATCTCATTACAGATGGTTGTGAGCTATCACGTGGTAGCAGGGAACTGAACTCAGGACCTCTGGAAGAGCAGCCAGTGCTCTTAACCCCTGAGCCATCTCTCCAGCCTGAGAGGTTGGTTTCTGTAGGTTTTTTGTTTTGTTTTGTTTTTGAGTCTTAGCATGGAACTCAGAAATTTGCCTGCCTCTGCCCCTGAGTGAGGGATTAAAGATGAGTGTCACCATGCTCAGTTCTGTTATGGTCACACAGGTAGTTGGCCTTATGTCATTATGGTGCTGGGATTGAACCCAGGGCCTTATGCATGCCAAGCAAGCCCGTTACCACTTAACTACATCCTTGGTTCTATTTATGCGTTTGTTGATTGATTGTTTTTTTTTTTTTGAAACAAGGTTTCTTTGTGTAGCCTTAGCTGTCCTGCAACTAACGCTGTAAACCAGGCTGGCCTCGAACTCACAGAGATCTGCCTGCCTCTGCCTCCCTAGTGCTGGGATTAAAGGCATGTGTCACCACAGAGTGGCAATTGAATGATTTTTTTTAGATTTATTTATTTATTAGGAATGCAACATTCTGCCTCCATGTATGCCTGCACGCCAGAAGAGGGCGCCAGATTTCATTATGGATGGTTGTGAGCCACCATGTGGTTGCTGGGAATTGAACTCAGGACCTCTGGAAGAGCAGTCAGTGCTCTTAACCTCTGAGCCATCTCTCCAGCCCCAATTGAATGGTTTTTGAGATGGGGGTATTGTTATATAGCCTAGGCTGCCCTCAAACGTAAGGTTTTCCTGCCTCTGTATCCCTAGGGCTAAGTTGTAGTCAAGTCACCATGCTCAGCTATGGCGGCCCTTTCTTTACAGTTCAGTGTTGTGAGAATCATGCACACACACACACACACACACACACACACACACACACCATTGGGAAACCGAGGCTTAGCATAGCATTGGGAGGCAGGTAACTGGCAGAGCTTGGCTTGTGATAAAAGTGTTTGGGTTAATGGTCCCTGTACGGGTACTAAAACAGACCCTATGGTGGTGACGGCTGTGTCATCACAATTTTGGGTCCAGGAGAGGGGATGTTCTGATGGAGTTCTGAGTCATCTCTCCCGGTCCTCAAGACTCCATCCAGGCCATGGGCCATATTCTGGAAGGATGAGTCCTCTGGGCAGTTCCCAGGAAGTAGCCTCTGGTGAGGTCACAAAGCCCTTCCCAAAGGTTCCTCTCCCCTTGCCTAGAGCTGACTGCCTCTCAGCAGGGTCATGGCCACACCAGAGTCTCTCAGCCCTGGGGACACTCCACTTTCTGTCACTCCTGAGCTCCTTACATCCTTGAAGCCCAAGGGTCCGAGGCCGGTGGGCTGGGGTGGGGGTCAGCGCTCCACTTGGGTCCTGGACCCCTGAATCTATACACCCGCACCCGCTGTTCTGACAGCCATCATGAAACGGCTGTTGAACACGCGGCGTACCCAGCCTCCCCAAGACACCCAGAAGTGGGTTCCCATTCTTGGGGAGCTGCAGAAGACCCTCCAGAAGGGCGAGTACCTGCCCCTCCGCCCGCTGCCCATGTTCGAGAGTAACTTTGTCCAGGTCCCTGGCTCCCTGGGCCCCGGGGAAATGGGGAAGGAGGGCTGAGACACAGGAAGAGAGAGGGACCCCTGCCACGGACTGAGTGGGTTGAACAGGGATTTGGAATTTGACCTTCTGTAGGTAGGAAGTGGGTTTGGAAAGCAAGGAGGCTCTCAGGTGACGGGATGCTGGAGAAAGGACTGGTCTCAGCCCTGCTCCCTGGCTGCCCCAGGTTACCAATCATGGGGACCTTCTGTAGGTAGGAAGTGGGTTTGGAAAGCAAGGAGGCTCTCAGCTGGAGGCATGCGGGAGAAAGGACTGGTCCCAGCCCTGTTCCCTGGCTGCCCCAGGTTACCAATCATGGGGCTCCTGCGTTTGTGCACCACCGAACCAACAAGCTGACTATGGGTGTAGCAGCATCCTTGCCTGGCCTAGTGTTACCTGACATTCTGTTGCTTGCTCGGCCCCCCGAGGGTAAGGAACCCTCCAATCTGAGCCTGACCAGGTACGTTCCTCCTTGGTCCGCGAGCTCTAACCCCAGCTCACTCCACTCCACCTCTCCTGTGGCGCTAGCTACCCGGGAGGTCTCCCCCCCGCCTCCCGCAGGATGATCCCGCTAGACCTTGCCCACCTGTATGTCCACGATCTGCCCTCCTGGCGCCTGAAGCTGCGTCTGATCACCGGCCGCTATTACTATCTGGAACTGGATGCCCCTGACCATGAGCTGGGCTTTCTGTTTGACCGCTGGATTCGCCTCATCAACCTGCTTCATGAACCTACCATATCTTGGGCACCCAGGACCATGGGCACGCTAGCTCTGGACACGCCCTTGGGAGGAACGCCAGCCTCCACCTGGCGCCTTCAGGTGGGAATTCAGACCGCAGGTCCAGTTTCCATAGAGAACAGAGAGGACTCATAGCCCAAAGCCTAGGGGGCCCGGGAAAAGGAGCTGGGTTCCTAGAATGCCAGGTCTGAAGGGAGGGTCTGACGTCATGGGACCAAGGGAGGCAAGCTTGGATGAAGTTGCTGGCTGTGTAGGCAACAGACAGAAACCACGGGGCAGGGGAAACAGCTCAGTTGGTTAAGATATTGCCTTGGGAGTATGAGGATCTTAGTTCAACCCCCCAGAATCCACAAAAGAAAAACCAAACCAAAACAAAAAAAACGGCTGGGTGTAGCAGCGCATTCTAGGGAGGCAGAGACAGGTGGATAGCTGGCCTTGCCTGACCTACTTGGTAGATCCCAGGCCAGTGAGGAAACCGCATCTCAGAAGAAGGAAACAATAAAAGGTCACACACACACACACACACACACACACACACACACACACACACACCAGAAAACGTGGCCAGGCACAGTGGTACATAACTATAGTCTCCAACACTTGAGAGATGAGGGCGAGAGGCTCATTATAAATTTGATATTAGAGTCAGGAGGTAATAGCAGATCCCTTTAAGCTCAGTCAAGGCTATCCAGAGAAACGCCATCTCAAAAAACCAAGACCAAAACAACAACAAGAAAATTAAGGCTAATCTGTCTTATACGCTCAGCTCACTAGCCTGGCCCCACTCTTTCTGAATACGTGTGCGAGCATGAATGCACGCTTGAGTGATGGTTCTCACCTACCATGTGGGTCCTGGGGACCAAACTCAGGTCATCAGGCTTAGCAGCAAGTGCCCCCTCCTCTTGCTGTGTCGCTCAGCCAGCCCTCGGTTTCTGTTTTTTGTTTTGTTTTCCGGACAGGGTTTCTCTGTGTAGCTTTGGAATCTGCCCCGCAACTCGCTCTGTAGACCAAGCTGGCCTCAAACTCAGAAATCTGCCTGCCTCAGCCTCCAGAGCGCTGGGACTAAAAGTGTGTGCCACCTTTGCCCGGCCTTTCTTCTGGCTTTTCCAGGCAGGGTTTTCTCTGTGGAATAGCACTGGCTGTCATGAAACTTGCTCTCTGGTCCAAGCTGTCCTCGAACTCACAGAGATCCGTCTGCCTCTGCTTCCCGAGTGCTGGGATTAAAGGCGTGCACCATTACTGCCCCTGTAATTTCTAGTTCTTTAAAAAAGAGTTTTAGCCAGGCGTTGTTGGCTCATGCCTGTAATCCCAGCACTTGGATCTCTGTGAGTTCGAGGCCATCCTGGTCTACAGAGTGAGTTCACTCTGTCTCAACAAACAAACCAACAACAACAAAGAAAAGAAGCACATGCAATAAAAAATTTAAAGGCCTGGAAAAGTGGTTCCGTGGTTAAGAACACACACACACACACACACACACACACACACACACACACACACGTAGGCACTCGTACCCTCACGAAATGAATAGACAAGCAAATCTTAAACTACAATGGAACGAGAAAGTGTGGAGCAGTGAAAGACCTCTGCAAACCTTTGTTCGCAGGACCACGCTGGAGGCGGAGTTACAGGTGAGCCACCTCTGTCAAAGGCTGGGCCACCTTCCTCTGCCTGTCAGGTACCCTCCCTCAAAGCGTGGGCGGAGCTCAAATGCTTGGGCAGGTTCTGCACTCCTGGCTGAGCTCGCCTTGGCCTCAGAGTCGCTCCCAGGTCGGCGCCCCTGAGGTCCTTGACCCTTCTCTCTCTGCCTCTCTCCTCAGTCGAAGTTGCTGAGCGCACCTTTCCTTACAAAATATTCTCTTCTCAAAAACAAAGGAAGAGCAAGGTGAGGCAGCCAGGGCTGTGTGTGTGTGTGTGTGTGTGTGTGTGTGTGTGCATCTGTGTGCGTCTGTGTGTGTATCTGTGTGTGTGCATCTGTGTGTGTCTGTGTGTGTATCCGTGTGTGTCTGTGTGTGTGTCTGTGTGTGTCTGTGTGTGTCTGTGTGTGTATCTGTGTGTGTGTCTGTGTGTGTATCCGTGTGTGTCTGTGTGTGTATCTGTGTGTGTGTCTGTGTGTGTATCCATGTGTGTATCTGTATGTGTGTGTGTGTATCTGTGTGTGTCTGTGTGTGTGTATCTGTGTGTGTGCATCTGTGTGTATCTGTGTATGTGTCTGTGTCTGTGTGTGTGTATCCATGTGTGTATCTGTGTCTGTGTGTGTCTGTATGTGTGTCTGTGTGTGTGTATCTGTGTCTGTGTGTGTGTCTGTGTGTGTGTATCTGTGTGTGTGTCTGTGTGTGTATCTGTGTGTGTCTGTGTGTGTGTATCTGTGTGTGTGCATCTGTGTATATCTGTGTATGTGTATCTGTGTCTGTGTGTGTATCCATGTGTGTATCTGTGTCTGTGTGTGTGTCTGTGTGTGTATCTGTGTGTGTGTCTGTGTGTGTGTCTGTGTGTGTATCTGTGTGTGTGTGTGTCTGTGTGTGTGTCTGTGTGTGTATCTGTGTCTGTGTGTGTTTCTGTGTGTGTGTCTGTGTGTGTATCTGTGTCTGTGTGTGTGTCTGTGTATGTGTGTGTGTGTCTGTGTGTGTATCTGTGTGTGTGTGTGTGTGTGTGTGCATGGCCCAGGGCCTATGGCTCTCCCCTGACTGACTCCTCTCTGCCCATGGACAGACAGTCAAGCAAAAACTCAAGTCTCAGGCTGTGGGTGACTCTCTGCCTCTCATCTGGTCACAACTGCAGCCTGCTGAGGAGCAGGTGGAAGTCACAGAAAAGAAGTAGGCAATGGTTTTTGTTGTTGTTTGTTTATTTTTTGGTTGGCTGTGTTTAGGAACCTAGCTCAGACATCACTAATGTCCCATTACGTTACTTCCATAGATCCTACGTAGATGCCTGCCCTGATGGATCCAAAACTCTAATCCATGTCTCTGGTATGACCAACACCCACCCTCTGCCACCTGCACGAACCTGCTTGACCAACACCCACCCTCTGCCACCTGCATGAACCTGCTTGTGAATTGGGTCCCTTTCCCAATGGCTCAGACTTCTTTCTGCCCTACAGAGAAGGCCAGCATCACCATCCGGACCATCTTTAGCATCATCTCTGGCACGATGAACCAGGAACACTCCAATTCAAAGGCCAGCTATTCACTAGAGGCTGGGGCCTGGACCACAGGGTCCAAGGGAGGAGGACAGGACCTGGACCACAGGGTCCAAGGAAGGAGGGCTGGGCCTGGACTGCAGGGTCCTAGGGAGAAGTGCTGGGCCTGGACAGAAGGGTCCAAGGGAGGAGGGCAGGACCTGGACCACAGGGTCCAAGGGAGGAGGGTTGGGGTGTAGACTGCTGGTCAGAAAGAATGAAGGCTGAAAGACAAGATCCCCAAGCTTTGTGCCTCCCCTGGTCCTGAACACGCTCACCCCATCCATCTACAGACCTACGGATCTGATTCTGAGGGAGCCACAGGCCGGGGCGGTCTGATTGAGACTCCTACACAGTGTGTCCCTCGAGACAGTCCTGATTTGCCCTTCGTGGACTCCTGTGATGACATGGACACCTTCCTGTGGACGCAAGACCTGGAAGACCTCATAGACACGGAATCCACCACCCTCTCTTCCCCCTTACACCCGTCTTACCCTCCTGCCTTCTACATCTTCCCACAGGCTTCCTCCCGTCCGAAGTCTGGTGACAAGGCCAGGCCCGCAGGTCCAAAGAAGCAGGCAAAGCCACTGTCCTCCCAGAAGGCTGCATCTGTCCCTGCCACATCAGGGAAAACACCATTCATTCTGGACCAGTCTAATAAGGTACCAGCTGAGCCGGCTCCAACTCAGAAGGCCCCAACCCTTCCTGCTCCATCTCAGAAGGCCCCGGCTGCACCGTGGTCAGCCCAGAAGTCTTCAACCGTACCTAGCCTCTACTATAAGGCCCCGCCTCCTGTTTCCCAGAAGGCCCCACCTGTTCCTGGACCCCCCCGGAAGGTCGCAGTTCTAGTCAGTCCACCCCAGAAAACCGTACCCCCAGCTCCCAAGCTTCAACAAGCACCTGCCGCTCCCCAGAAGGCCGTGCCCCCAAAGAAGGATCTAGTCCCAAATACTCAATCTCAGAAGGCTCCCACTGTCCGGCATCAGAAACCTCCCGACTCAAAGGCAAAGCCCTCTGGGGATGCCAGCGTGGTACCGGCAGGAGACACGCTTCAGAGAAAGCCTGAAGGGAAACAGGAACCAGTGGTATTGATGGGAGGGCAGAAGACCAAAGTAGTAGACATGAGGACCCAGGCCACAACCCTGCAGCTGCCCAACGCCACCACCAAGAAGCAGTCCAAGGAGATCTTGATCAGCAAAACCCAGGAGTTCACCCTGGAGGGCTTGAAGGCCAGAAGCAAGATGGAGGACAAGGCCCACAAGATGAAGGAGGAGACAACTGTGAACTTGCCTGATCTGAAATCAAAGGAGACAGGGACACAGAAGAAATGGGTCCTGACCCAGGAGGTGGCGGTTGAGGGCCCCCACCCAGAGGACACCAGGCCTTTCTCTGTGGAGGGGCTGGCCCTTGCCAAGATGATGATCATGTCCAACTCCAAGCAGCAGCATGTGGAACCAGCTGCCGTCTCCCTGCCCTCCTGGTTCTCCATGACTTCCAGGGGGTCTAACATGTCTGTGCTGGCCAACTTGCCCTTTAACTCCAGCCATATGACCTTGCCAGAGGGGAGGCATGTAGAGGTCAGGGAACGACCGAGTTCCCAAACCAGGGTGAAGGAGAACACGCAACCCCAGAGGGAGAGGAAGCTGCCCACGGACGACTCGCTGAGGACTTCCAAGGAGCCCGCCCCTGAGTTGCCAAAGACTGTCTCTGACTCCACAAATCTGAATGAAACTCTTGCCACCACCGTGCACACCACAGATTTGGAGGACACGAACCAGCCAATGACATCCTCTACGTCCCCCATGTCTGAGACAGACTCCTTAGTCAGGGTGCCCCCAAAACAAGGACTCAAGCAGGAGCAAACAGAGCAGCAGCCTGTGGCTGTCGCAGGGTCAAACTCGGAAGTTCTCTTTCCCGTTGTCTTGGAGATAGTGAATAAGAGAGACAAGGGCACGAAAGAGGAGCTACCATTGAAGGATTTCAGCGGCCAGCATGCTCAGGTGTTTGGAATTAGCAGTTCGAACCCACTGTCAACTCATATACATACGTGTGCTTGCATGCATACATACACACAGACAGAGAGAGAGAGAGAGAGACAGAGACAGAGACAGAGACAGAGAGAGAGAGAGGGGTGGGGAGAGGGGAGCAGGTTCTCTGGATTGAATTCAAGTCATTGTACATGCTAAGTGCCAACTCTAACCCTGAGCCAACCCATGACTCATGTCACTAGACATGAAGTGTGAATGGCCATTGTTCTAAGCAGTGGGGATACAGCGCCCAATGCTGATAATGGTGTTGGAAGCAGATTATATGGCTTGGCACCTAATGGTTAGGGATAAGGCCTGCTACTAGATAATTTTCTTAAAGATTTAGTTATTTAATGTGTATAGTACACTGCCTGCATGTATCCCTGCGGGCCAGAAGAGGGCACCAGATCTCATTACAGATGGCTGCGAGCCACCGTGTGGTTGCTGGGAATTGAACTCAGAACCTGTGGAAGAGCAGCCAGTGCTCTTGACCTCTGAGCCATCTCCCCAGTCCCTGTTAGTAGATATTTGCAATGCCGAGGACAGCACAGCGACGTAAGGTGGCCTTAGCCTCAGAGCCGAGTCATTTGTGTAAAGACAGGAAATGGAGCTGGAGGTGTAACTCAGATGGCAGGATATTTATGGGGCGTGTCCACAGCCGGGAGCTTGAACTGCCCAACACTGCATGAAACAAAGTGCGGTGGCATGTCCTTGAACTCCTGGCTATCAGGTGGTGAAAGCACGTGGACTGGGAGTCCAAGACCAGTCGTGGTTATACTTAGTGAGTTGGAGACCAGGCTGGGCTACAGGAGACCTAGTATCAAAACAAAACAAAAGACCTGTGGGAAAGAGCGGTTAGAGCACTTAGGGGGCGGGTTAGAGCATCTAGGGGGCGGGTTAGAGCATCTATGGGCGGGGTTAGAGCGTCTAGGGGGCGGGTTAGAGCGTCTAGGGGGCGGGTTAGAGCGTCTAGGGGGCGGGTTAGAGCGTCTAGGGGGCGGGTTAGAGCGTCTAGGGGGCGGGTTAGAGCATCTAGGGGCGGGGTTAGAGCATCTAGGGGCGGGTTAGAGCGTCTAGGGGGCGGGTTAGATCATCTAGGGGGCGAGGTTAGAGCATCTAGGGGGCGGGTTAGAGCGTCTATGGGCGGGTTAGAGCATGTAGGGGGCGAGTTAGAGCATGTAGGGGGCGGGGTTAGAGCGTCTAGGGGACGGGCTAGAGCGTCTAGGGGGCGGGTTAGAGCATCTAGGGGGCGGGGTTAGAGCATCTGGGGGCGGGTTAGAGCGTCTAGGGGGCGGGTTAGAGCATCTAGGGGGCGGGGTTAGAGCATCTAGGGGGCGGGTTAGAGCATCTAGGGGGCGGGTTAGAGCATCTAGGGGGCGGGGTTAGAGCATCTAGGGGGCGGGTTAGAGCATCTAGGGGGCGGGTTAGAGCATCTAGGGGCGGGTTAGATCATCTAGGGGCGGGGTTAGAGCATCTGGGGGCGGGTTAGAGCGTCTATGGGCGGGTTAGAGCATGTAGGGGGCGAGTTAGAGCATGTAGGGGCGGGGTTAGAGCGTCTAGGGGACGGGCTAGAGCGTCTAGGGGCGGGTTAGAGCATCTAAGGGGGCGGGTTAGAGCGTCTAGGGGGCGGGGATAGAGCGTCTAGGGGGCGGGTTAGAGCGTCTAGGGGGCGGGTTAGAGCATCTAGGGGGCGGGGTTAGAGCGTCTAGGGGCGGGGTTAGAGCATCTAGGGGGCGGGTTAGAGCATCTAGGGGCGGGTTAGACCGTCTAGGGGCGGGTTAGAGCATCTAGGCGGCGGGTTAGATCATCTAGGGGCGGGGTTAGAGCATCTAGGTGGCGGGTTAGAGCGTCTAGGGGGCGGGTTAGAGCGTCTAGGGGGCGGGTTAGAGCATCTAGGGGGCGCGTTAGAGCGTCTAGGGGGCGGGTTAGATCATCTAGGGGGCGGGTTAGAGCGTCTAGGGGGCGGGTTAGAGCGTCTAGGGGGCGGGGTTAGAGCATCTAGGGGGCGGGTTAGAGCGTCTAGGGGCGGGTTAGATCATCTAGGGGCGGGTTAGAGCATCTAGGGGGCGGGTTAGAGCGTCTAGGGGGCGGGTTAGAGCGTCTAGGGGACGGGGTTAGCGCATCTATGGGCGGGGTTAGAGCATCTAGGGGGCGGGTTAGAGCATCTAGGGGGCGGGTTAGATCATCTAGGGGGCGGGTTAGAGCATCTAGGGGGCGGGTTAGAGCGTCTATGGGCGGGGTTAGAGCATCTAGGTGGCGGGGTTAGAGCATCTAGGGGCGGGTTAGAGCGTCTAGGGGGCGGGTTAGAGCGTCTAGGGGGCGGGTTAGAGCATCTAGGTGGCGGGTTAGAGCGTCTAGGGGGCGGGTTAGAGCGTCTAGGGGGCGGGTTAGAGCGTCTAGGGGGCGGGTTAGAGCATCTAGGGGGCGGGGTTAGAGCGTCTAGGGGGCGGGTTAGAGCATATAAGGGGGCGGGTTAGAGCGTCTAGGGGGCGGGTTAGAGCATCTAGGGGGCGGGGTTAGAGCACCTAGGGGGCGGGTTAGATCATCTAGGGGGCGGGTTAGAGCATCTAGGGGGCGGGTTAGAGCGTCTATGGGCGGGTTAGAGCATGTAGGGGGCGAGTTAGAGCATGTAGGGGCGGGGTTAGAGCATCTAAGGGGGCGGGTTAGAGCATCTATGGGGCGGGTTAGCGCACCTAGGGGGCGGGGTGAGAGCATTTAGGGGGCGGGGAGTCCCTATAGAGCAGTGGTTCTCAACCTTCCTAATGCTGTGACCCTTTAACACAGCTCCTCACGTGGTGGTGACCCCCAACCATCAATTCATTCCATTGCTACTTCATAACTGTGATTTTGCTACTGTGGTGAATTGTACCTATCTTATATGCAAGGGCATCTGATGTGAGAACCCTCCAAAGGGGGTCACAACCCACAAGTTGGGAACCACCCGGTAGAAGGTATAAAGTCCCTGAGGCAGAAGCAGACATGTTCATTGTACCTCTACCCCGAGTCCTAAGGAAGGAAATGACTTATTCTGGTGCACAGTGTGAGGGTACAGTCGCATCATGGTGGGGGAAGTACTTTTTGTGTGTACGTGGGGTGTGTGTGTGATGGTGTGAGGGTGTGCTGGCCTGTGTGTGTATAAGTTTGTAAGACAGAAATCAACTTTGGGTGTCTTCCCCCAGATTTGATCCTGGTATCAAATGAAACTAAACTAGGTGTGGGCAGTATGCTTTTTTGTTTGTTTGTTTCTTTGTTTTGTTTTTCGAGGCAGGGTTTCTCTGTGGCTTTGGAGGCTGTCCTGGAACTAGCTCTTGTAGACCAGGCTGGTCTCGAACTCACAGAGATCCGCCTTCCTCTGCCTCCCGAGTGCTGGGATTAAAGGCGTGTGCCACCAACACCTGGCTCAGTATACACTTTTGGTCCTCCACTTGGGAGGGAGAGGCACAGGATCATGAGCTCACAGTCTCCTTTGGCTATGTATCATAACTCAGGCCAGCCTGTACCACAAAGTGACCCTGTGTCAAACTAAGAAAATAAGAACCCTTGAGATAGCTCAGTGGGTAAGAGTGCTTGTCACCAAGCCTGGCAGCCTGTGTCCCTTATGGTGGAAGGTGAGAATGAATGTCCACAAACTGTCCCCTGATGAAGGCATGTCACCCCCTCTCCCCTTTAGTCCCAGCACTCAGAAAGCAGTGAGGGTGGATCTCTGTAAGTTCGAGACCATCCTGATCTACATACACAGTTCAGAACCAGCCAATTTCCAGGTCATAGTGAGACCTTGTTTCAAGAGAAATAAAAGTAAAAAAAAATAAAACAAATTATTACATACCAAATGAAAGAAACAGACCCGCAAAGCCAACCAGATAAGATTATATTTCTATGAAGTGTCCAGATAGCCACGGAGACAGAAAAAAAAAGGTGATTTAAAAGTACTTAGAAAGCTGGGCGGTGGTGGTGCACGCCTTTAGTCCCAGCACTCGGGAGGCAGAGGCAGAGGAATCTCTGTGAGTTCAAGACCAGTCTGGTCTACAAGAGTTAATTCCAGGACAGCCTCCAAAGCCACAGAAAAACCCTGCCTCGAAAAAACAAAAACAAAAACAAACAAACAAAAAATGGAGTGTAAAAGTACATAGAGATGTAGGGATGGGGGATGATTTCTAAGGTGTTGCGAGGGGGACTGAAGGGTGATCAAAATGTCTTTGGACACTAGAAAGGAGTGATAAATATATTGACTACCTTTTAAGGTATAAATAACAGCTGTGAAATATATATAATTTCTCTGCCGGGCCCCTAAAACATTCTCTGCTTTTCTCTCCCCCACAGTAAGCAGCGACCCAAGGATTTAAGATAAACATAATGCTGGAGACTCAATCTATCAACAAATTATCCGGAAGCCCAATGGGGCCAAGGTACCCCTGACACCGGGAAGATCTGGACCTGGAGGAGTGGGTTTCAGGACCCAGGAACCATCCTCCCTTTCCTCCTCCTCTCACAGGCGCTCAGGGTGCTGTGCACCCCGACTGTAAGACGCGGACTGCCGAGAACAGCGTGTGTGGTGGTGGGGAACCCTCCCTCTCCCGTAGAGACCAGAGCTAGATATACGTTTATATATTGGGGAGGGTGGGGCGGGGCAGATGTCAGGGACAAACTCAGCTTTGCAGGGATTAAAAGACTTAGTCTGAGACTCAAGCGCAGCCTTGTCGCCTGCTATCTGTGCGCGCTCCAGAGCACGGGTCCCCCCCCGAAGGGGGCGTCCCCCACCCCCACCCCGCAAGAACGAGGGGGAGGGGCCTCCACTGACCCCACCCCTCGCATTGCAGAGGGATCCTATTGGCTGGGCCTCCCTGAGGGCCAGCCAATCCGGCCTGAGGGTCGTATTTTTTTGCGGCACTCTTGGGACCTGCCCTCACTCTCCAGCTAAAGCCCGCACCGCGCAGGTGGACGTCCAGAGCCCCGGTGTTCCAGTTACGCTCGCCCACCTCCGTCTGGTGAGGGCAAGGTGGGTGAGGGTTAGAGCGGGTCCCGGGCTGGGAAAGGCCGGAGCGAGGGGCGCCCCCGAGGCCCCACGGAGCCGCGCACCCCTTCCTGCAGGAGCTGACCCTTCCGTGGATGTTGGACGTTGAAGCCCAGATGCCCCCTCCGGGCGAATGGAAAACGCCCCCCTTTGACCCGCGCTTCCCTAACCAGAACCAGACGCGTAACTGCTACCAGAATTTTCTGGGTGAGACCGGTTGGGCCTAATTAGAGGGGAGCCCTCCCCCCACAACCTGGAGACCCTCGGAGACCGTTGGAGTGGGAGGCTGGATCGTGGGCCTGCAGGGGCGGGGCCTGCACCCAAGTGGGTGGGGCGGAGCCTCGGAGGGGCGGGGCCCGGAGGGGCGGAGGCGGCCAGGCTGGAAGCCTTAAGACTGCCACCCTGGAGTGAAGTGGGTTGACTCGGGAGGGATGGAGCCTTGTCAGTAAAGGGCAGGAGCAGGAGGGAGGGGGCAGGGGGTGGAGGGAGGCACCTGATCTAGGGCCAGCTAGAACTTGTCCTGGAGGGGCAAGGTGAAGCTGGCAACCGGAAGGGACTGGACCTCTCCAGGTGGTAGAGCGCAGTCAAGATGGGAGGTTTTGTTTGTTTGTTTGTTTGTTTTGGTGGGGGGGCCTATAGTCCAAAGGAGGAGCCCGATTGGTTGGAAAGGATAAGACTGAGTCCTGGAAGGGCCGGGCGACGCAGGTAGAGTGGGGCCAATGTCTAGAGGGGCGTGGCTCGTCTCGTGACACGCCCACCCCTCACCCCCACCCGGAGGCACTCTGCAGACTACCACCGGTGCTTGAAGACTATGAACCGGCGCGGGAAAGACACACAGCCCTGCGAGTACTATTTCCGCGTGTTCCATTCCCTGTGTCCCATCAGCTGGGTGAGAGAGAGAGAGAGAGAGCGCGGAGGGAGCGGGGGATTGGTGGGTGGAGAGGGTGAGGGACTCAGACTCAGGCTGAGCAGACGCTGGGGTCCCTCCCCTCTGCCTCTCCAGGTGCAGCGCTGGACCGAGCAGATCCAGCAGGGAACTTTCCCGGGCAAAATCTGACTGCGCAGCTGAGCGCGGCTCCTCAGTGACCGCTGTCCTCTGACCAAGCCCCAGCCTGGCTTACCCCATCTCTTCTTTATCTCTACGCCACGAATAAAGTTATGCTGCTGCTAATGTCTGTTTTCTCTTTTTGGGTTTTGTGTTTGTGAGACAGTCTTTCTCACTAGCTCACTGATGGGCTGGACCAGCTGGGATCCTCGTGTCTGACTCCCCAGCCCCGGGATTGTGGCCACACGGTGACTGCACGAGGCTTTTTATGTGCATGCTTAGGCCGTCGTGCAGGCATGGCTAGCCACTGCTTACTGGCTGAGCGCCCTAACCCTGCTTCTTTTGATCGTGGGGGCCAGGGGAAGGATTGCTGCTCCAGAGTTAAGGCAGGCAAAGGCAGCTGGATAGAAACAAGCTTGGAGGCTCTTGGGTTCTGCCTGTGATGGCCAAGTCAAGAGCTCAGCATTTAAGGTAGCCCCAGCCTTTAGTCCAGCACTCCAGAGGCAGAAGCACATGGGTCCCTGTGAATTTGAAGCTAGCCTGGTCTACATAGTGAGTTCAAGGCCAACCAAGGCTACAATACTCAGTGAAACCCTGGCCAAGCACACACACACACACACACACACACACACACACACACACACACACACACACGCTTCTACCTACAGAGTTCCGGGGTCAGGGTGTCTTGTCTGTGTCTGTCAGCCGCCACATCTCCCTCCTGGGCCATCTTGGCTGTCATACCTACGCATCCGGTCCCTGGTCCCGAGGAATCCTAGTTCCGTGACCCAGTGCTGATCACTATTCCCTGACCGCCCTGCTCGACACTACCATCACGCCCTACCTCCACTGGTTCCGTTTCCCTCCAAAACCATCCTGTCCCTACCACAAGAGCCCTCTCGTCCCAACAGGGCACCAGAGACTTTTCTATCCCTCAGCAGCCCCAGGGCCGGGCACAGCAGCACCCTCTGGATTAAAATACAAAACAAAAACACAAACTGAAGATGTGTATGAGTAAGACGTCCATGTGCGTGTGTGTGTGCGCGTGTGTGTGCGTGTGTGTGTGTGTACACACACCCTTTGAGTGCCCGGTGCTCATGAGGGCCAAAAGGGGGCCTTGGATCTCCTGGAACTTAGAGTGGCAAATGTTTTTAACCACTGAGCCATCTCTGCCTCTGCCCCCTACTCCCTTTTTTTTTTTTTTTTTTTTGGTCTTTCGAGACAGGGTTTCTCTGTGGCTTTGGAGGCTGTCCTGGAACTCACTTTGTAGACCAGGCTGGCCTCAAACTCACAGAGATCCACCTGCCTCTGCCTCCCGAGTGCTGGGATTAAAGGTCCCTTTGATTTCTAATGCAGGTCTACCCCTGTGCTGATAAGGGGCCTTCTGTCCCTTTCTCCCTAGGTGACACTTGTGTCTCTGCCCCTGACCCATCCCTTCGGCACACTCAGGACTTGAATCTTAATCGTTCTTTGTGCCCAGTCATTCTGGTTCCAGAAGCTCCTTGGCAGTATCTTCCAAACACAAGGGGTGACACCCTCCTCCTTTTTATGGACAGGTTCACAGGTTTACATGGCCCAGGCTGGCCTTGAACCCACAGAAACCCATCTACCCATGTCTGCCTCTTGTGCACTGGGATTACAGGGTGTGCACCACCGCCCTGCCGGACTAACTCCCTGGCCTCCTTTCAAAATGTATTTTGAGTAGGTTGGTGGGGCTGGTGAGAGGCAGCCAGAAGACGGCATCAGATGCCCTAGAGTTGTAGCTGGGGGGAGGAGACTGTAAGCCACCGGAGGCCATGTCCTGTGGAGGAGCAGCTAGCACCAAGCCGCTGAGCCTGCTCTCCACCCCAAAGTGACCCTGTTTGCTCAAGATGAGTCTCGTGTAACCGGGAGAGCCTTGAACTCTTGATCCTCCTGCCTCTGCTTGCCATGTGCTGGGATTATAGCCACCAAGCCCTGCACCAGTGATCCTTACCAGAACCAGAGGCCTCTAGGCTGGCTGTGCTGATACCCGCTGCTGCCCACAGCTACCAGCCTGCACCTGAAGTAACCGCAAACCGTCTTAAAAGGCCTCCTGTGATTGCATTTAACTCCCAGGTTTCAATGCAACTTTGGTTATGCACACGTCACCTTCCTGAATGACCAACCCCAGTTTCTCCAGCTAGAAAGCACGTGGCACGGAGTCCCGTTATCAGGAGCGGGATGGGGAGGGAGGGTGGGGGATGGCTGGTCCCACCCTTGGATGACCTGTCTCCTACCTGCCCCAAAGGCTGCTCACCAACCACCAAAGACACACCCCAGATGGCCCAGAATGATTACATCTAGACCTTGGTCTCAGAGCTGTCTGACCACAATCCTAGAGAGAGAGAGAGAGAGAGAGAAACACACACATACACACACGCGCACACACACGCGCACACACACACACACACACACACACACATGAGCGGGTATGCTGAGGACAAGGCTGATTGGTCACTCGACAGCTCTGTGACGGGAGAGGTCAAATGCTGCCTGAGGACTTAATGATGTCACCCAGTTAGGTGGCTACCTTTGTCCTGCCCAGAAACGTGGGTCTGGAGTCTGTTTTCTCGAAGCGTCCAGCTTCCCTCTACCTTTTTCCTTTCCAGGTCCATTGTCCTCCTTGCCACCGTCACCTGATTACTTCCTGTCTCTTTTATTTTTATTTTTTTTGAGGGGGGGAGTTTTAAGGCAGGGTTTCTTTGTATTGTTTTGGAGGCTGTCCTGGAACTCGCTCTGTAGACCAGGCTGGTCTCGAACTCACAGAGATCTGCCTGCCTCTGCCTCCTGAGTGCTGTGTGCCCGGCTGCTTCCTGCCTCCTTCCAACACGTCTAAAGGCCAGACTGGCTTCAGACTCTCCATCCTCTTTCCGAGTGTTGGAATTACAGGTGTGCCACCATCCCGGGCCTCACTCCGGGCCAACTTTGCCCATGCTTTGTGAGAAGCCACACCACACCCTGCCCGTAGCCTGTGTGCGAACCATGCCACCACAGACTCTCAGCGGCTGGCCCTCTGTAGGCCCCTCAGCTAGTGTTCCCCACCTCCACCCACTGGGACAGTTCCCCAAGATCCCAGGGCTGCACTGGGCTCCTAGAGGCCTCCCCTGGCTGGAGGATGCGAGACCAACCGTCCTGTCCTCCTCTTCCCTCTAGCTCGGTAGTTTCCTCAGAAACCCTTTCCTTCCTGGGCAGAGGTCACAACACCTCTGCTGCTCTTCCTGCTGCGTCCTCAGGGCCACGCTTCATTTCCAGACACCGGCTCTCCCTACAGGGTCCCACGGCTCCTGGGGTCATCTGGTCAACCTCCAGGGTTCGAGGGGAGAAACAGGGTTGGGGCAGCCCCACTGAGGCGGCACCAGTGTCCACACTGGCTCTCTTTACTTCTCCCTTATTATTTCTTTTCTTTTCTGTACAGGATTCGCCCTCCCTCTTAACATCCCCCTAAAACATAAAACCTCCTAAGGGCTTAAAAGGTTTTAATAAAAAGTTCAAGTTCTTCCAATCCCCCATCATACCCCATTCTGGTGTGGGGAGGAGAGGGAGCCTCCCCCACACCCCAGTAGCACCAGGGATAGCACCGTGAGAAAGATGAGGTCACACCTGGCCTCCCTGAGACCCGCGGGGCAGGGCCAAGGATGCGCCCCTGGGTACCACCCACCCCATCTGACTGCTCCCGCCTCCAACTGCAGAGCTGAGAGCCAGCCCGCTCCCTGTTGCGGGGTGGCTTGGGAGGGCACACCCCCAAGTCACTTCCACCTCCTGAGGCCTGAGCACAGTTCTAGGGAGTCGCCATGGAGTGGCCCCCACCCCTTATGGCTTTGCTCCCCGGGGAGGAAGAGGCTGAGGGAGGAGGACGGCTCCTACAGTTGTGAGGTGGGGGCAGGGGTGGGGACGGAACATCAAATGGCCAGGGTTCCTTGCCTGGGTGGGGTTGGCTCAGGGGTCAGCAGTCACAGAGCAACAAGGATCAACTCCCTAGGGATGTCCTAAGCAACACAATCCCGGGATCAGACCTGGGGCAAGGGTCAACTCCTTCCTTCCCTTCTGGAGGAGTCCCAAGACAGACCAGAGACTGCTCTCCGGTCCGGGCTCCCTGCAGGCTGCCCATCACGGCTCACCACTGTCGATGTCCAGATCAATGGAGCCGTGACTGACCACTAGCCGGAGGCGCTTCGGTGGGCAGAAGGGAGCAAAGGCAAGGGCCTGCTTAGGGACGAGGTCGGGGGTGGGGACAGGGGCTGGGCTCCCAGCAGGGGCGGGGGGCAGCTGGCAGGGCTGGGGGGAGGCGGGTAAGGTGAACGCGCACCACAGAAGGCAGCCCGTAGCGCCGGGCCCAGTACCAGTCCTGTTGTGGAGTCCAGCGGGTCTGGGGAAGAGGGGGCAGGACCACCATGGCCTCGGCCCGCAGCCGGCAGTGGGGACCACAGCCTCCCCACTGGTGTAAGGAGACGCGGACGGCAGGGAGGGCAGGGGGGGCAGGGGACGGCGCAGCCCGGCGCATCCTGGGGCGGCGGCGGCGGCGCTTTCCGGGGACGGACTCTGGGCTGGGGCTGAGGCATCCTCTGGAGCCACAGGGGCAGGTAGTCCAGGTGGGGGCTGGGAGGCAGCAGGCATGGGGGTTGGCAGGCAGCTGTGGTAGTCAGGGAAGAGAGAAGAGCCCGTCAGCGGGGCCCGAACAGCCCCCCTCCGCTGGGCAGGTCGGCAAAGAAGTGACCCAAGGGCTGGCGACCTCGGGCGGGCGAGCTCACCGCACAACGGGTCGAGGAGGCGGCGGCGGCGCAGCGGGGACAGGTGCGAGCAGGCCCCCGGGCCCAGCGGGCTCTGCAGGCTGCTGTCCAGGCCCTGCTGCAGACGGCGCTTTGTTTCTCGAAGCTCGTACTTGTCCGGGGGCTGCGGCCGCTGCTCCGGGCCCCTGGGCTGAAGCCTGAAAGCTCCTTCGCCCTTCCTGCAGGAGGGGAAAACGGCAGAGGCGGGCGCGGGGTCGGGCGGGCGGCACAGTGAACCCGGGAAGCTGCACCCCAGCCCGGGGACCCTCGGCCGCCCTGCCCCGGGCATCGGCCACGCCTACCTCTCACAGGTGTAGCACTCACAGTGCTCGTTCTTCTCGCCGAAGAAGCCCTCGCCATAGAAGCATGTCACCTCGTCCCCCGGCTCAATGTCCCGGAGCACCTTCACGCAGGCAGTGTTCCCATCTGAGGGCACAAACTGAAGCCATGCCCGCTCAGTGTCCCAGCCCCGGGGCAGCACACTGCTCTCAGCCGAGGAACTCCACTGCCATGCCACCAGTCATTGGCGGGTCCCCGGATGCAGCCTGTGCCCCGTGTCTTACCCCTCCCTGCAGGCTGCGACCGCCAGCAGTGCGGGTGCCTAGGGACCTCTGCTTGTGCTCTTCCCGACTTGCGGTCAGCGCCAAGCTCCACACCTCACACCCACCTGCCCCTGGCACCGTCCCTCTGTGGCCACCTCCCCCTCTCCCAAGGAAGGCTCGTGCCCACTCGGAAGCCCTGCCTCGGGGATGACTCCCCGTTCCTGTCTCCCTCTCGGATCTGCACCCGCCTCTGTACTCCCTATCTGGAGTACAATAGCGAGGACATGGGCATCCTCGCTATTAGTCAGCCAGCCACAGCGGACACCCAAGATGCCTCCTTGCCTGACGGTCCAGGCCCGGCGGCCAGTGCTCCCGCGTGTGCCCCCCATCCTAGTCCTCCTCTCCTCCAGCCCATCACCCGCCCGGCCCCTACAGTCACCCTGGCTCCCTACAGTCCTTTGCTTCCCACTGGGCCTCCTGCAAACTGCCACCTAGCACCCAAACCTCCCCCATGCGTCTGGGAGGAGAGTCGGGGAGCCCACCCTCTCTGGGCACTGGCCGTCGCCATCTTTACCTCATTACAGGCCTTACCCTATGACGTGAAATGTCTTGCCCTCTTGCGCCCCGGGTTTCCTTCAACGCTTAGGAAACCTCTGATGCCCCAAAGCCCGCTGGTTCCAGATCACTTTCTGTCCCACCCAGTGTCTGCGTGCAGGGGCAGTGGCAGCTGTGTGTCATTCATCCTGAGAGCCTCTGGCACATGGGACAAGTCTGCCCAGTGTCAGATGTCCACCACCTGACCCGACAGCTGTCTTAGGGGCGTCGCAGGACAAACCTGAGGCCAGACAGAACAGGCCTAACTCTTCGCAGTCCTTAGTCAGGAAGCTGAGCTTTGACCCTTACTTATGCCTTGGGGGCTCCCACAGAGGTCTGGGTCCTAACAGGACACAATGGGCCGGGGCTTCCCAGGGATGCCCTTACAGTATTAGTATTATTGTTGTTTCGAGACAGGGTTTCTCTCTGCAGCTTTGGAGCCTGTCCTGGAACTCGCTCTGTAGACTGGGATCTCTGTAGAGATCCGCCTGCGTCTGCCTCCTGAGTGCTGGGATTAAAGGCGTAAATCACCAATGCCTGGCCCATTGTTTATTATTATTATTACTTGGTTTCTTTTTAGTTTTTGAAGACAGAATCTTGTTACTTAGTCATCCTAAGTGACTTGAAACTCACTTTGTAGACCAAGCTGGCTTCTAATTTGCATCAATCCTCCTGCCTCTATCCCCAAACACTGACGTCACAGGTACAAAGTCAGAGTGCTCAGCTAAAACTCTGCTTAGCTCCTGCTGGTCCTGTGGTTTGAACTTGGACCATTCATATGCTAAGGAAGCACTCTACCCTGAGCTATGCGTATGTCTGGCCCTTTTGAAATGTAGTTTAACTGAAGTTGCCCAGATTAGCCTGGCACTTAGAATTTCCCTGCCTCAATCTCCCAAGATGCTGGGATGACAGGACACATCACCACATCCCAGTAGGCCTTTGCGACAGGTGCTAGCCAGTTATCTCCTCCCTCCGTACTCTGCTGCTCCACCCATGGCTCCTAGTAGAGGTCCTTGGTCTCCTGCATTGTCCCCGCCTCTCGCCTGCTGGTGCCACCAATGCTGCCTGGGTGAGACTGGCCACCTGCTAACCTGTCTCCCCATCACACCCGAGGCTCCGTTTTAGTCAGTAGCCCAGGTTCTGGTACAGCAGTGCAAACACCCTGCTGTCCCTTCCTCCCCTCTATAGCCTGGGGGACACCTGCCTTCCCATGCTGCCCACTCCAGGTGCTGCCACCCGCCACAATGGACTTGATATCAAGGGGAAGAAACCGCTTTAGGCCGGGCCGTGGTGGTGCACGCCTCTAATCCCAGCACTCGGGAGGCAGAGGCAGGCGGATCTCTGTGAGTTCGAGGCCAGCCTGGTCTACAGAGTGAATCCCAGGACAGCCTCCAAAGCCACAGAGAACCCTGTCTGGAAAACCCAGAAAGAAACCACTTTGTGGGAGAGTCCCAGAACGTCCCTCCCCGTGCGCGCCCTTCTCAGACGCCGCAGGCCTCACCTTGCAGTTGGGTTTGCAGTCTGTCGCCGGTTGGGTGGACGACGAGAGAAGAAAAGAGAACATCGTGTGAGCAAGAGAAGGCGACCCCTTACCCGTCTCACAGCCTCGCCCCTCCCCCCCGGCCAGCCCGGCCCTCACCGTGGTTGATGAAGGCGGCGGGGCCCAGCCACAGCTGCGCACTCCTCTTCCGGGTGGAGTACATGATGCTGAAGTCGTTCTCCCCGGCCCTGAGCAGGTCCTCGTCCTCTTCGCGGAGCTCTGCGATGCAGCCCACCAGCAGCCCCAGCTTCTCGTTCTTCTTCCTGCTGACAGCCTGTGCTCTAGGCCTCCCGGTCCTCGCTGGGGATGAGCCAGCGCCTCCCCGGCGGCGGCGGGATGCCCGGGGAGTCAGGGCGCCCGCCGAGGGGGCGGGGCCGGCCACTGCTTTCTCCACTCCCTCATCCGCCAGGCCCTGGCGGCCCTCCCGCCGCGGGGACCGAGTCTGTGCGGCCCCGCAGCCCCCTTACCAAGCACGGGTGGACACGATCTTGGCCCCATTGGTCTCCATGGAGTAGCGGGTGCAGGGCAGAATGGTGAAGCCGCTCTCGGGCAAGAAGGCGCGGAGGTAGCAAAAAATCTGAGAGGAGACAAGAGGGAGGGAAAGTTGGGCAGGGCCGATGCCAGGGGCCCCTTGCTCTTGGACCAGGTCTACTTTGTCACTGGCTGTGCGGCCAGGGTCCTCCCTGGGTCTAGGTGTCCTCATCAGTCAAAGGAAGAGGAGGCTGGACTCATCTCGAAGCTCACCAGCCCCTAATTCTTCTAAGATTCTGAGCCTTGCAGGCAGTCTCCAGGGGCAAGGCGGCCTGGGGCCTGCTCTCCTAAGAGATTGTGCCAGCTAAAGGGGGGAGTACAGAGCAGGGCATAGGCTCCCTCACGTGGGTCTTGAAGGCAGCCTTCTGCCGAGGGGCCCGGCTCTGGAAGTAGTGGGTCATCCAGCTTCCCAGGGTCAGGGCCCTGTATGTGGCCTCCAGGTCTTGCTGTCTTAGGAAGGCTTCCAGTGCTGAGCGAAGGTGGTGCTGTCGCCGCAGGGCGGGCACGGGGCTGGGAGAAAGGATGTGCCTCAGCTCCGGGGACTTCCAGGACCCTGACCTCCCCCCCCCCCCACCTGAAGCTCCAGGGAGGCCAGGGTGGGAGTTACTAAATATACAAGAGAAAGGGCCCGGGCCTGCCATTAACCCGCAAACCCCCTCACCTGACATTCATCTTATGGGTGCGGAAGCCGAGGTAGGGGTCAAGAACAAGGCTGGTGGCCAGGTCATCGTTCTCACACAGTTCACGGGCTGTTACTCTGTCAGGCCCCATGGTGCTCTGAAGACCATGCTGCTTCTGGCACAGAGCAGGGCACAGGGATGTGCTCGGGGGCCCTCAGCTGTGTGAGGAGTCTGTGGGCCCCACGACCTGCTTATCTGTAGGAGAGCACAGGGTGAGGGGGGGCGGGGTATCAATATTGGCTCCACAGGGCTCTAAGCAAGAATGACACCCAGTGAGAAACACTGTCCCCTGTGCACCGAGCTCTGCCCTCCCCTCCTGCTAACCAGCTGCAGGGCCCCCAGTCACTCACACACACACACACACACACACACACACACACACACACACACACACACACGACCTCCCCAGGACGCGCACACTGTCGCGTGCACACACAGACCACCTTGCCAAGCCCACATTGAGGAGGTAAGTCCCCTTGTACCCCCGGGGGAAGGCAGGTTAATTGGCAATCTGAGATAACTCCGAAGGCTTAGCATTGCAGGAGAGAGCCGGGACAGCGGGGCCTCAGCAAGGGAGAGGTGAAAAAATGAACCCAATGTTTCTGAGCTCCCAGCCTGCCTTTGGTGACCCTCGCTGGGCTGGGTCTGTCTTCACCACCTCCCTCCAAGGTCACCCTTTTCTGGGTGTGGTCCAAAGGCTGTGGGTGGGGCCCAGGCACCCTGGAGGGGAAAAAACAATCCCCAGTACCAGCTCCCTGACTGAGAATTCCAGCAAAGGGGTATCTCTCAAGGGGACACAAACCAGAGAGAATAAACAGAATGGAGAGAAAAAAAAACGAGTCAAACAAAAGGGAAGGAGGCAGGAGGGGTAAAAAAAAATTAGACTCAGAAAACCAAATCAAACGAGGAACAGAGGGACCGGGCACCCCTCATCGTGGTGCGTCTGACAGACGCGCGCCCTGGGAGAGAGCGATGTAAGAACAAGAAAGCAAGGAGGGTGGGCTGAGAGACACGAGAAGCTCCAAGAACTGGGAGAAAGATCTGGAGAAAAACAAACAAAACAATAAGTCTGGGTTGAATGGGGGGGGGAGGGCTAAGAAAAAGCCTGAAGCCCGGGAGGAGCTTGTGAGAAAAAGACAAATAAAGCCAGGTACAGGGGGTATGGTGTGCAGGAGAGGAGGGCTCACACACGGAGGGGGGGTCACGAGGACGAGCCGGGGGTGGGGGTGGCACCTACGGGGTGCAGGGGGAGCTCACGGCGTCCAGAAGGTGGGTATGGGGTCCCGGGTCTGAGAAAGGGCCAGCGGTCCCAAGTAGGGTTTGGGGGGATCTGAAGTGATGGGGAGGAACATGGAAGACCCTAGGGGTTCGAGGAGGGAACTAGGGGAGCTAAGTGGAGCCTGGCAAGGCTGTGGAAGGTTCTGGGGGGGAAGCAGCGGAGGCCACGGTAAGGGCCTCCAAGGCCAGGACGGTGGAGACAGGAGTCAGGAAGTGGCCCCGAGAGTGACAGGCAGGCAAAGGGTGTCGGGGGACGGGCCCCGGCGGTGCAGCGGGAAGCCCCTACGGTGCAAGCAAAGACCTGGGAGCGGGAGAGCAGCCTGCACGGGCTCCGGGGGTGCAGGGAAGGCTACGAGTGAGGAGCGCGAGGACCCGCGGGGCTGGAGACTTGGGCGGCAAGGCTCGAGGAAGGGCCCGGGGGTGACTGGGAGGCCGGGCGGCGCGGGGCGGGGGCCGAGAGGGGGCTCAGAGGTCGGGCCCCGCGCCGCCCCTCACCCGCTTCTCCTCCTCCTCCTCCTCCTTCTCCTCCGGCGCCCGCGCTGCCGCCGCCGCCACCACCACCACCACCTCCCACCGCCTCCTCCGGCTCTCGGCCGCCGCGCCGCCCCTCGCCCGGGTTGACGGCCGACGCCACCTCCCATTGGCCCAGCTCGCCGTCACTCCTCCGTTGCTACGAAACCCGCGCCGCTCTTATTGGCTGGATCTCGCGGCTCTCTCTCCTGGTCCCCCCCCCCTCCGGTCGGTGCCCCGACAAAACCCCGCCACGCCCACGCTGTCAATAAACCCAGCGGACTGCCACTAATGGCTCGCGTCCCTGTCCTTCAGCCGTCGCCATAGGGATGGGGCCCGCCCCTCCTTCCGCCCCGCCCCAAATCAATGCTCTCATTGGCTTAAAGCGCCGTCGCTCCCAGAGAAACTCAGGCTGGGTCAGGTTATTCGGGTCCAAGTGGAGGGAGGGCGGGCTCTGCCGGATCCAAACCTCGCATGTTATTGGTTGGCCTTTCCCGGGCCCATGTTCCCATTAGCTAAGGCCTCCGTCCATCACCCCAGAGGCCCCCCGCTCCCCCCCCCCACCCCCCGAGCTCTATTCCCTTTCTTTCAGCTTCAGGAGGGTAAAAATCTCAGGGCGAACCAGGAAGGGGAGAGGTGAATGCGCGCGCGCGCGCGCCACCACTGCCCTCGCCCCGGGAGACCATTGGTTGCCGTGGCAACTGAACTTCACTGCCAGCCCTGCTTGGCAAGAAGGCCTTCCTTTCTCCCGCTCCCCCAATGCACCTTAATCGTTTTGGCAATTGCACCTGCAAGAACTCTGCAAAGTTTTCTTGCCCTGCGTCCGGACAGGTCGGTAAGAGGGGACGCTGAGAAGTTGGGGACTTTGGAGACAGGCTCTGACTCATGGGGCGCTCCCATGGGGAAACCCCTGTAATTAGGATATCACCCCCCCCCCTCTCCAGCCCTGCAAATATAATTAGCAGCGTGTCGTAATGACGTCCAAACAAGTAAGCTCCGTGCACGGAGCGGGCGAGTCTTTGTTTTTGTTTTCCGGGAGTGAATCTATTCGGAGGGTTAGAACAATGCCTACCGCACTCGGGAGGCAGAGGCAGGAGGATCTTTGTGAGTTCGAGGCCAGCCTGGTCTACAGAGCGAGTTCCAGGACAGCCTCCAAAGCCACAGAGAAACCCTGTCTCGAAAAACCAAAAAAAAGAAAAAAAAAAAAAAAAAAGAACAATGCCTACCTCCCAGAACTGGAGGACCAGCGGCCTCAAGCGAGAGAGTAAAGCGGGGTAAAGGCGTCTGCCCCCAGGCCTGGCAGCACAGACTCCTGGAGGTTGTCCTCTGACCCTCCCACCCCATGGACCCACAGACGCATACACACAAAATAAAGCGGTTAAGATGTCATAGCTTCGGGTCCCGGAACATGGCTCAGCGGTTACGAGCAGTGGCTGCTCTTCCAGACGGACCTGAGTTCAATTCCCAGCACCCACGTGAAGACTCACAACTGTCTGTAGCTCCAGCTCCGGGAGTTCTGACACCTTCACACAGGGATATGTATGCAAAATGCCAATGCCCATAAAATAAAAATTAATTTTAAAAAAGATATAATGATTTATTTTTTTTGAGACAATATACAGCTCTGACTCCCCTGCAAATCACTATGTAGACCATGCTGGCCTCGAGCTATCCTCCTGCCTCTGCTCCAAAGTGCTGGAATTAAAGGTGTGCGCCACTATGCCCGACTGAAGGTTTTGCACTACTCTGTGACCTTGGGGAAGTGTTTTTGCCATCTCTCAGCTTGATGGTTCTGTCTCCAAAACAAACAGCACACACGGGTGCACTTTCAAGCTTCGAAGGGTCCATGCTACACCACCCTTATCCCTCTTGGGTCCCAGGATACCTTCTAACTTTAGCAACTCTCCAGGTAAAGGTAACAACATCTTTAGATGCCATCACATTAACCAAATCTAGTGCTGACAGAGAGAATCAGGCCTGGGTATTGGACTTTGGCAGCCCCTAACAGAGTGACCCCTGCTGTGACCACTTTGGTAATTCGCTTAGGACTGCAAGAGCTAGGTATGGGAGAATGTCACAGCAACAGTAGCTGTGCTGCTTTGGATACCAATGGCTCCCATTTGGATTCCAATGACTCCGGCTGGAACGCTTGGCCCATGGAGAGGAGGTGTGGCCTTTGTTGGAGTAGGTGTGGCCTTCCTGGGGAAAGTGTGTCTCTGTGTGGGCAGCCTCTGAGGTCTCGTGAATACTCAAAGTACTCCTCGAGAGTTTCTTTCTCTGCGGCCTGCAGATCCGGATGTAGATCTCTCAGCTCCCTCCCCAACTCCTTGTCTGCCTGCACGCTGCTGTGTCCTCCCAAGATGATAGTAGACTAAATCTCTGAAACTGTAAGCCAGCCCCAATGGAATGTTTTCCTTTATAAGAGTTGCCATGGTCGTGACCAGGTGGTGGCGCTCGCCTTTAATCCCAGCACTCGGGAGACAGAGGCAGGCGGATCTCTGTGAGTTCGAGGCCAGCCCAGTCTACAGAGCGAGTCCCAGGACAGCCTCCAAAACAATACAGAGAAATCCTGTCTCAAAAAAACCAAAAAAAAAAAAAAAAAAAAAAAAAAAAAAAGAGCACGGGCTGCTCTTCCAGAGGACCCAGGTTCAAGTCCCAGAATGCACGACATGGCAGCTCACAATGGTCTATAACTCCAGTTCCAGGGGAGACAATGCCCTCTTCTGGCCTCCACAGGCACCGGTACAGGCACCAGGCATGCACATGTGTACATCTAAATGAGTAGGCAAAACACATATATGTTTCAAATAAAATAGAAATAATTTAAAGAAAGAAAGAATCATCGTATGAGGTTTTCCAATAACTAGTAAGAAAAAATTTAAAAAAAAGGAAAAAACAAACACAAAGTCACTTCCAGAACATTGTTGAAGTAGATTCCAGGATAAGGGTGTAGCTTGTGGTCACAGGGCAGGCACCGGGGTGAGGCTTTGTGGCTGATCTTTATGTTGGAAGAAAAAGAGGCTCGTACATGGCAAACAACCAAGGCCTTGTGCTGTCATCCTGGGCAGGGGGTGGGAAGGACACACGGGACAGGTACACTCTTTTTTTTTGTTTGTTTGTTTGTTTTTGGTTTTTTGAGACAGGCTTTCTCTGTGGCTTTGGAGGCTGTCCTGGAACTAGCTCTGGTAGACCAGTCTGGTCTCAAACTCACAGAGATCTGCCTGCCTCTGCCTCCCCAGTGTTGGGATTAAACAGGTACACTCCTTGTAGAAGTTGGGACAGGAGCTCACATATCCGAGGCTCTTCTCTGTGACCTTGAATTCCTAACCTTTCGTCTTTCTTTCTTCAGATGCATGTATCACTGCCTCACCATGCTTAGTTCACTTGGTGCTGGGTTAAACCCAGGTCTTCATACCAGCCAAGAAGAGCTCTACCAACCAAATTGTATCCCCGGCGATTTTGCTTGTTTTCCGAAACAGGGTTTCTCCGTGTAGCCCTGGCTGTCCCCGAACTCACTCCATAGACCAGGCTGGTCTCAAAATTAGAGACCCACTTGCCTCTGCCTCCAGAGTGCTGGGATCAAAGGAGTGTACCACTAATTCCCCCACCCCCACTCGGCCCCTGTCACTCTTGGTGGTTTTCAGAGATGGTTTCCTATAGCCCCCAGCTGGCCTGAAGTCACTATGAAGCTCAGTCTGTCCTTAAATCCAAGAATCTTCCTGCCCGAGAATCCAGAGTGTGGGGATTACAGGCTTGAACCACCTCGCCTGACTTTGGTGTTCATGTTGACTATCACCCCACAAGCAGAAGTAAGCTGTGACGGGGCCCCCAGACCTTAGCACAGCCCATGCCATGATGGAAGTACCATTTAGGCCTTAGAACCCAGCACATAGGCAGCAACACCTGTTAAAATGAGACCAAAACTCGAAAATCCCATTAAGTCCACAGTTCTGGGAAAGTCTGTAAATGTACTACTAACCTTGCTTTTTGGCTTCTGGAGTTCTGCTTCTGGCTGACTGTTCTTGTTAACTAAAATATGTCAAGCCAAGGTACAGTTTCTGAGCTTAAAAGCTCACCCTGGGAGGCTGGAGAGATGACTCAACGGTTAGGAGCACTGACTGCACTTCCAGAGGACCCAGGTTCAATTCCCAGCAACCACCTGGCAGCTCACAACTGTCTGTAACTCCAAGATCTGACCCTTCACACAGACATACATGCAGGCAAAAAAAAAAAAAACCTCACCCTGAAGCCAGGCAGGGCAGTGGTGGCGCATGCCTTTAATCACAGCACTCGGGAGGCAGAGACAGGTGGTCTCTATGAGTTTGGGGCCTGCCTGGTCTACAGAATGAGTTCCAGGACAGCCTCCAAAGCTACACAGAGAAACCCTGTCTCCAAAAACCAACAACAACAAAAAAGCTCCCTCTGAGAAAATCTCAGTGCTACACTAGGATCCCAAACACTCAGTGTAGTCACTGGAAGGCTACTACAGACTTTTATAGGTTTGATTCTCAGCAGCTACACGGCAGCTCAAATTTGTCTATCATTCTAGTTCCAGGGGATCTGGCACCCTCATACAGACATACACGCAGGCCAAACACCAATGCGCACACCAAGACCTCTCGACAAAGCCAGGGTCACATAGCAGCAAATCCCCTCTTAAAGACAGAAATGTGGTGGTGTACACCTTTAATCGCCTGCACTCAGCAGGCAGAGGTGCTTGGATGTCTGTGAGTTCCAGGCCAGCCTGGTCTACAAATGGAGTTTCTGGACAGCTAGAGCTGTTACACAGAGAAAACTTATCTTAAAAAAAGGAAGCATGAAAGAAAGAAAGAAAGAAAGAAAGAAAGAAAGAAAGAAAGAAAAAGAAAGAAAGAAAGAAAGAAAGAAAGAAAGAAAGAAAGAGAAAGAAAGAAAAAAGAAACAAGCAAGCAGAAATTTGGGCGATGCTGAGTGCTTCTTAGGTCTGATGTTGCT